GAGGCTACCAGGTTCAAGTCTGGTGAGCTGATCTACTCACCTCCCACCACTTTAGGAGCTGCATCTGCGCCTTGATCCTTGAAGGGTGGTGGCGTTCCTACGGATGCGGACAACTCGGTTTCCAGCCGAGTCTCACGCGAACCGTGAACTTTTTCCTTTCTGCATACATGTATACCCTACTGGAAGTACATGCAACTATTCTATCCTTCTTCACGGATTTTTGATTGCGATGTACATGTATTCCAACTGACGAATGTCACAAGAAAACGTTCTGGGAAACACTAAACCGACCTCGCTTACGTGCGCATAGTCATGAGTGCGCATAGTCATGAGTGCGCATAGTCATGAGTGCGCATTTGGTACTGTTCATGTACTTCAAGTACACGTGTAGCTACATTGTATATTTCAAAGGTAAATTGGCGGAAGAGCCACGGTAAAGGAGAGAAAAGCAGCGCATGCGTCCGCACAACACAGTACTTCGACGGAGCAGAGAGGCCGATTGACAAGACCCCGCCTAAACAAACCGAAAAAGGTATGCAACTAGACAACTGACTCAGTTCCTGAACTGGAGAAGCAAAGAATAGAAAGAAGAGAGGAGAAAACTGGGGATAGCACGCCTCTACAGCGGATTGCGCCTCTGCAACCGCTAAGTCCAAAGCAACGGCGGGTGCATAGATAGGGGCGCCTAGCACTCCTAATGATACATTACACTAAACCGAACCAAGGCAAAGCTGACCTGGCACCGAATGAAGCCATGGCTCCGCTAGTATACGCCTCCCGGGTCTTGTCGGTGACCAGAGACGCTATCCTCTAGTTAATAAAATAATAATAGAAAAGTGGGAGATATTCCCCATGCTCACTGTAAAGTGTAAACAGTAGCTGCAGCAGTACTGACACTGTCCTCTACACTAGTCCATAATTATATGCAGTCAACACAGCCAGGGGGGTATTGTATTGCAACTCAGAGTGTGACCATCTTTAACGATCACCAAACGATCATCGGCAAACAGGTGCTGGGTGACGGTCCAAAGAAGGGGGAGCGAGGTTGGAGAAGGGAGCTTGTTTTCATGACGACACTTCTTTAGATACGACCTCCGTCTGCTTGCTGAGGGAGCGGATTCTACCAGCACGGGCAGTCTCCAGCAGGGAGTACTAAAACCTCCCCCCCCCCCCCCCCCGGGTCTCCAGCTTCTCAGCCAGAGAGAGAGACTGCAGTGTTTCGAGATGTTGGAGTGGGCTAAGGAGTAAGGTGCGACCGTCTAGACTCCTCACAACCAACCACTCACTGCTTGCTTTATGGCCTGGCGCGCTTTCCAAAAACATGTCTTGAGTTTTGTTCTCATACTTCCGGCCGGTGGTCAATGGATTGTTCGTGGCCGTTGAGTCTAGTCTTGGATGCCCCTTCCGTTTTAGCGGGTGAACTCTATCAGTACTCTATCAGTCTATGAATGTCCCGTCCACCGTGACACGGTCACACGCGTGCCCGGTACACCATGGTACACGATGCTGGATGTAAGACAATTTCCATCCAAGGGACAACTCTAACTTCGCTTCAGTGTCATGATATGGGTCGGTCTTGTTCCGGTGGTCGCTGCGGAGGATATCGTCATCTTTTATTCTCACGATGGCTATTATTGGCCTAGCCAATAATAGAATATTATACGCTTCCTCGCCTTGCCTTGGTTCAGCACTATTGTAGTTGTAGAAGTTAGTTTATTTAACGTCACACCACCCTTTGATACATGTGGACAACACTATTATTTTTCTTGCCTTCGTGCAGTTCTCGCTCGCTCATGTACATGTACATGTACATGTATATCTCGCAGTTATGTAGAGTACTCTGACGTTGATGCGTCACGTGAGTGGATTTAAAACTGCTTTGCCGCTCAGTGGACCTCATTGCGTTCGGCCAGTGACTATGAGCTCCGCCGATAAGACCTACTTCGAAATAACAATTTCGAAACTGCTTTAGCTGTCCGGAGATTGAGCGGTTGAATATCTTATAATTATTATTATTATTTGCATCCTTCGTGAAAGTGTTGGCTGACGAAGTGTAGAAGCCATTGGCCAACATTCGTGGACACATTCTTACCAACGGTAGGTTAAACTACAATGTATGGAACGTTTCACGACTCCCTGGTCAAAGCAAACAATTCTAAGGAAACAGCCTGTGTGAAAGCAGATTGGCATCCACACCTGTACCTCCTCACAGCAGCCGCCACTATACTCGTATGAGCGGTCGAAACTGCACGCTGCACAATCGACATGTCTATGTCATGTCTGTTGATCGCCAAGTGACAAATAATTCGTTTACAATGGGTTGCCAAGCGAGTGCGGTGGTGCATGGACAAGCGCTAAATAACTATTATCTAATGCATGAATTCTGCTGCTTGAGACATCTCGGGTGCAAGGACTTGAAAAGGGCACCCACAGCTAGCAGCAAGACCGCTCCCCCGTTTAGGGTTCGACCGCCAGAACCAATGACTGCCGGCCGGTGTTTCAGTTTAGATACGCTCTTCGAAGAATGTGAAGCCGAGCTAGCAGGGCGATGAGTGGACTGCCTTTCTGACCTACTGTACACACTAGCTGAACCAAGGGACATTGCGCTTCCCTACACGACTTCTTCAACAGCTTGAGCCTTTTTTGTACTTGTAAAGCTTTCGATTGGACTGCAGCGTTCTCGTGAGTCTCGGGAGATTCAGGAAGGTGTCTATCCGTCGTTTTGTTTTCTTTATGTATGTAGTATATTTGTGCTTGTGGACAATCGCTGAAACCCGGAAGGCCGTTGTGCTACGGAACAATTGTATGCACAGTCAAGCAGGCGAGTTGGCGATGGTGGAGGGTCGGGTTCCCCTGCCGTGCACGCGTGATTGGTGCTGCACCGAGCTTGTTTTGTGTGAAAGTATAATAATAATTATTCTTATATCTATACTTCAAGTATTACAAAATAATTGAGAGGCTTTGAATCGTTTTTCATCATAATCTAAATATTTGCCGGGTTGGAAGGTGGGAAACAGTCAAGCAGGCTACAACTCTTGGGGTTACATGATGATTGTGCTAGTATATCGCAGCCATCAGTGAACCGTGAACTTGTCAATCGCATCGTAATATACCAGACTCGGTTATGATGACTTGCCCACTTTATCCTGCAAGCGCCATCACTGGAAATAGATGTTTCCTTGGGACTGGGAGATTGCCACAGATCGCACTGTATCTGTACTTGTAGATCAAAACAGGCATGCCATGCCGCCCATGCAGAAAAGTAGTTTACCGGTATCACTCTTTTAGTCTTAGTAATGACTCCCAATGATTCTCTCCATAGCTAAGAAGTCAAATATTCCTGCATACATGTATTTCACGCCTTAGAGTTATAAATAAACTGCTTATATTTGGCTCCTTTTTAGGGATCGAACACATGCTTTGGTTTGTCGTGATAAATCTAATATTAACTTCGCACTAGGTCAATATACAATGTAGGAAATAGAAACTTCGTAAAAGACCTCAGCTTCACCTCGGTCGTTTACTCGGCTTTTATTTCCTATATTGACCTCGTGCTCAGTCAATAATTCAGCTTCACTCATTCTCTCCCTCGGTCTGGTCTTCTGTTGCTTGAAGTCATTGGGTCCAGAAGTCCACAACAGTTGTCTGAAGTTAGAAATGTGCTGAACTCCAAAGTGCATGAAATGATACAAGCGGCTCTGCGACGGGCAGCGGTACTGCTGCGGTAGGCATTTCGCATAATCCGTCACCTTATGCCAGGACGACACAGGCACGAGCAGCTCCTCTCCCACACTAGACGTGTGCAACCACGGACAAACCCGGGCTCAAGGGAACGCTCTCCGCCATCGCGACCCTGCTGGCCAGGTCTGTTCCAGCAGTCGTTGAGTGAAGCATTTCATCCATGGACTCACAGTCAGGGTTTTATGACTGCACAAGCAGGATGTACGCCCCAGGAATCTGCAAAACGACGGCCTGCATGGAGAGGACTGTGACTTGTGTTGATCACCGATTTCCACCATCATTGGTGATCACAGGTCACACACGGTAACGATTGTCATCGCATCACACATCGTGGGAACAAAATAAACTGTTACCAAAGACGCTGCAGCAAAATACTCCTCGGCACCTGGAAGTGATCGTTCACACAATACGGAAGCTCACATTGACAGGACGTATCGCCGCAGTATCATGCCTCCACACCACGTGGGTGTTCAGCCCAGCATTGCATGGTCTGCTTCGTTTTAAGATACCTCTTCGGCTACCATCCCTTTTCCGTGTGAAGCCAGCGCCTGCACTAAGTCTCCCTACACGCAGTTTCCCTACGCATCTCCGACGACGTCCAACCACGAACCGGGACAGGGCGCGTATGGCATTCGATGTCTTTTCCCTTTGTCACAAGTTAGTTTGTGCGCGACTGTACATACTTGCACTTCAGTTCGTTATGGCTGCTTTCCTTCATGAGTAGAGTACGCCTGTGATACTATCCCCGATCGAGGAAGCAGAGTACTGTCAGTGCCAGTGGTCCAACGAATCACCACTCGTCGTTTCAGCAGTGCGCTCAATCAGGCGTGACGCTAAAGTGAAAGAACAGAGGAAGAGTGCGGCACGGGCATGTCCACCTCTCAGGCGGTCACAGCTGATCACGCGCCCTCTCGACCAGCCGGTGTAAACGACCTACGCGCGAATTACGCAGTCGGTCCAGCTTGGAGCGCCGCGGCCACAGCCCCAGCCATCACCATTGTCATCGGCGCACTCTGAATTGATGAAGTAAGGAAGGAACAGTGGATCTACGAGAGTCGAAATGCACACGAGATTCAAGGACCTTCACATCATGTGCTCACACTCACACACTCAGGGCCTCGCCTAGAACTGTACTCTCGACTCCACTAGGCATGCGCTACCGATTTGCAGTATGCGTGAGGAGTAGTGTGAACTATGAACTATGATCTCACACCACGGGCGCCAGTGAGCCAGTAACACAGGGCATGAGGCGTTTGCCCCATTTACCTCCGCTAGACTACAGGCTAGACTCTAGCGCTTTTACTTGTGCTATCATCTGCGTCTGACTGAGTGGTGCTCGGCATTGAGCGGGTTGACGAGCATTATTGTTCAGATGACTATACCCGCGCTAGTTGTGCAATTCAGAAAGTGACACTAGGGCTTAGCACGCGGATTTCTCCGCTTTCTCCTTCCAGTTGTTGTTGTTGTCCTGATACTCCCTACAGGCTTCCTGCTCCCCTAACCGATCAGCCTAGTGGGACGGTGTTAGTGCGAGTAGTTTAGGCCGTCCTGGTCAGGCTTGTGGACCTGGGTTGTGTGGCAGTCTGGTGCCACCTACCACCGTTCTAGCTTGGTGGCTTGAGGTATGGCGTTGTCCACGGCACGCAGTAACATACACAGGTGTAGTAAGCTCTCCATTCTTCTGTTAGTCGGTGTGTTGCTGTTGGCGAATGCCGTTCCCGGCATCCTCAGCTCGTCTTCACGAGTTCGGTATCTAGAAGCCAGCAGTGCTTCTCATGTTCAGCTTCACCCCACCGTGGAGAATGTGCTGAAGGATTGCCCTCGTGCGTGCGCGTATGACGTGGACGCACTCTTTGTTACATGCCGTCTGACCGTACGTGGTGTGTACTGGACGGATGTCGTCGACTTCCTGTCGCTCCTTCCTACCTGGACCAAGCGAATGTAAGCCATGCAAAAAAGAGCCCTGCTCGTAATTTGGAAATGCATTCCAGTTTTAGTTTCGTGACTTTTCTTCCACCAAACAACGTCCAACAATACATGTAGTGAATATACGTTCTGCACTCGTGAGATACTGTTGTGGCGTGCAAGCTGTTTCCGATTCTGTGGTGACGCTCGGGTTCTTCACCGGTCAGGATTTACCTTAGTAATAGAAACCGGTAATTATAGTTCATCTGAAGTCAATGCACACTAGTACTACGAGCACAGTTTTCTGCATAACCTATGACAAGCATAAGCATGACACAGTAACATTCTAACTTCTTATCTGGACTGAAGTAACATTGTTCCATCCATTGCCCCTATGCCATGGTAGACTTACAACACAGTATGGCGTTATGTAAAATCTGGGCTGCCGGCTACAAACAGTGAGTGAGTGTAGATCTGGCTGTAGATCTACACTCACTGTAAATCTGCATGCCCTACATGACTGTAAATGCAGTCATATTCTCGTGCGGCGATACATGTATGCCTTTCAAGGACCAGGTCGACTGGGATGGGCCATGCATGGGGCATTACGGGCAAAATGTTGATCGAAAACAAGCGTTTTACGCGCAAAATGCGAGGTCAAGTCTGTCTGTTGAGCTGAGGAACCCTGGACTGGGGTCACAGGTTGCTCCGTGGACCGACCCCGTGGCCGTGGTCTGCAGATCATGCAGTGAGGGCAGGCCAGCTGATCAGCGGCATGGCGTGCTGTTTCCCTGGAGTCAGTGGAGATGTTTGAATAGCGGGTATACCGAGAGTCTGTTAGTCTAAATAATTAGGCGCGCTCAATACCACTGCAACTTGCAAGTGCAATGCTCATGTTGTTGAAGCAAGACTCAAGCGAGCAAGGGAACAGCACCATCGTGTCTTCAACTCAGAACTCAGAGGTTGTTTGTCCTCAGTTGACGGTTCATTGGGTTCCCTCCTGTTCCGGGTGACAGTTCTGGTGCATGCAGGCAGGTCAAGTACTAGTTAGCGTGAGTATTGCCGACTCGCGAAAGTAAAGAAAATAGAGCTAGTTCCGGACAAATCAGGCGAATGCCTTTGGGGTTTTCAGTACCGGTAGTGTCTTCGTTGTCAGATTGACCTACTGTTACTTGCGTCCTCGGCCAGCTCAGTTCTTTCGACGCAAGAAGAAATGGCAAACAGCGATGCGTCAAGTGTGGGCTGTCGCAGGATATGACTGTTACCGTTGTGGCTTGGTGGTTCCTTGTTCCCGGCCGTCGGAACGGTTGTGGAATATGCGCGACCGAAGAGTCGAGAGTATCCTCTGGAGCCCTCGGCTCCTGGAATCGGCGACATTCACAAACTCGGCAAACCACGATGGTCAATCGGAGGCTAATCACCGACATCGCACTACTCTGGTCCTGGCGAGCGACTACTTGCAGCTATCCTCGAGAGATCTGAGTGTGAGTGGTAGATCTACGGGCGCCTAGAAGTCCCCCCGCAAGAAAAGCTATATGAGCTACTTTACAAGGGTGTGCTGTGGTTCGTGTGTTAGCTGCGCTACGTCGCCATCCGCTGGCACATACTGTCGAAACATGGTGGATTATCGCTGCGGTGTGGTGTAGATCTACAGCCTGCGCATGTCTCACTCTGCAGCCTGCACCACATTGATGAACCTGCGGCAATCGATGTCAGAGCTTCCGCGTTGCACAGGCTTGTTCAAAGTTCAAAGCGAGATCGAGAGTATCAGTGAAAGAAAATGTCGTAGATTGTAGCCTGGAGGTCTGCAGCAGGAGTGACTGCGAATCATTATGTCTGCACAATAGACAAGAAAATCATCATGTTCACTCAACAACGCAAATGCATTGACCCAAGAGAGATGCGGAGTCTCTAACCTTTGCCTTTGGCGAATATCAGTGAAATCATGGGCTGTAAGTGCAACTGTAACTAGTGTAAACACAATCAATTATTATTTGTGGAGGTGAACATAAGTCGCATCACTGCATGGTCATACTATGAGTATGAACTGGGGCTTCATAGGGTCGTACGTGCACACATTCACCGCTTTCTGAACTAACTTGTGTACACCTTGCCCTAAATCCTGTGGTGGTGATGGGGAGAGGGGGGGGGGGGGGGCATATATCTGTCCCTGCGGGAATTTGCGGAAAAAATCATCGAAAACTTGCGCAAGAAATTGCGGCAGAAAACAACAAAAAATGCGGTGAAAAGTGCGGAACTTGCCAGGAACTTGCGGAATTATTGGCAGAAAATTGCGGATTTGGGCCAAATCACGAAATTTGTTGTATCCTTAGAATCGCTATTTGCGTACTGTGAAAATAACCTACAAGCAGGATCATGGAAAGCACTGTATACTGCGTGAAAAGTGCAGAAAATGTCAAAAGAAGTGCAGAAAACAACAAAAACGCGGGAAATCGCGGATTTTTCAGAAAATCGCGGGTTTGGGCCAAAAACGCGAAATTTGTTGCGTCCGTGGAATCGCGATTTCCTGGAGGGACAGATATATGGGCAGCAATCTGGCATGAAGTGAATACATGTGTTACATCAAACTTCAAAGTCAGTCTTCTGAAGTGTGGTGTCTGAAGCAAACTCACTTTAGAAGGATCATGACATTGTATGTTTGTGGGTGTTGTGAACCATCCAGCGAGCTGGTAGATGAGACTGTCCGGTGCAATTGCGAGTTCTACCATGCAGTCAGGCGGCTGCCTTCGGGAATATCCGTCGGTGGACACTGCGACCATCCCATGGACTTGTTCAGCACAGCCGTCGAGGATGCTGTCGGTCTGCTGGAGCAATCGTGTGGTAAGTGATATACGGCATGGCTCCCTTACTGCACAGTGATTGACACCTGCACCCGTGACTTGGAGCGGCCCCTGTGCAACACATACCAGTATACAGGGCAGGTGACAAAGGCTATTCAATGCCCAAGGTTTTGTTTTCTATAATTCACTGGTTGAGGGAATGGAAAATGGAGAAGTCCGAAGAAAATATTCAATGCCACCATCAGGACTCGAATTGTTTTGTAATTTTTGTAAAGTTTAAAGTATCATGAAAATGATGAAATGCATATCATGATGTTCTTACAGCGAGCGATGAAGTTTAGACGGTATGCTGAGCTGTCCAGCACTTGTTTGCTGTACTAACTCGCCATCCATGAGCAACACATATCGTTCTCCATACTACTGACATTGCATATTCTACAATCATTAGAACACCAATGGCGGAAGAACCGATGGAGTTGACATGGAGTTGACCCGTTAATGCATGCAGGCTGTGCAACTGAGATTACAGACAAAGACGTGGAGGCTTGCATAGCGCTGGACGGCGATTGTGATTGGGAACGCATTCCACCCAGTGCCTGGTCTTGTCGGCATGCTGCTGACACTGGGTAGCGTTTCTCATGATGATTGTGTTCTCTCCATTCACAGATACAGCACCAGCACATCACATCATGCGCCGTGGCATATATACCGGAGAAAGTAAGCAGAGTGTTTGCGTGAGAGTCAGGGCGGGGCATACACATGCGTCCTGGTGTTCATTTCTTGATTGGATGGTTAAGTCTTTCAATTTGCTTGCTGGGAAAATGTGGACAGAAAGTGCTGAAATGCGGCATGGCCTGGAAATGCCAATGCAACCAGATGACCTGTAGAGTGTGTAGCCATTCTGATGAATGGATTTCACAGGTTTCTTTCGCTCTCTCTCTTCTATTTTTTGACTGAGCAGACGGCACCAGTGTCGTTTCCGGCCCGAGTGATTTCCCCACCCTGAGCGTCAACATTGCACCCACGTTCAGGAGCGTACTTCACGGCGCCACTGTGGTCTTCACGTGCACAATGTCCGAGGAGGCGTCGCGTGTCATCTGGGAGAGAGAGGACGGCCATGTCATTCCGGTGGGCGGCAGGTTCTCCTCCACCCTGGCACGGTTTGTGACAAGCCACAAGCTGAGCATCAGTCGGGCCATGGTGAGTAATATTTTACATCCTTTATAAATTGCACATCTCCACAGTATTTCACGATGTAATGTGCATCAAACATAAATTGAAGAATATCTCGAGGCACAGTATTATGTTGTATGTCTTGTTCATGCGCCCAAGAGTAGAGGACTTGCCTCACTGTCTTGCTATCCACAACGATTAATGTGAGTTATAATACTTGAACAGTTTCCTCGGAAACAAGAATGCAATGATACTGAGAAGACAGTAATTTGATAACCGCAATCAATAAGACAAGCTGAATTGACATTTGTGTATACTTTATTCACCGTTTTACAGTGCATGAATAAAATATACACAACTGTCGATTCAGCTTGTCTTATTGATTGCGGTTATCAAAATATGTTCTTATGTTATTGTCTGGTGTGCCTTTGTACATGCTTAGCTCTCAGACGAGGGAGTGTACGTCTGCGTAGCGCTGGTAGGCCTGAGAGGACAGGTGGAGTCGGCGAGGGCAACTCTCCGCGTCCTGCGTGAGTTGGCGACTGTTTATCCATGTGTGTCATTTGTGTCGTTTTGAGGCGGGCAGTTCCCAGACTCATAGTGAAAACGAAAGTGGTGTCAGTACTGGACTGAAAACACTCTCTTGAGTATACATGCAGTATGGTTTTGCTTTGAGTGGGTGTCCCGTATCATTATGACAAGGTTGTTGCATGGCACGTAATTCAGCAAAGTCACTAGTGTAATGAATAATTGTCTATACATGAAATGATGGTGGAAAGTTCTCTTTGAGACAAACATGCAATCACACCTTGGAAATGAACAAGCTTATTGAACTTGACGATTGTTTGCATTTGCTGCCTTCTTTGCCCATTCTTTAATGCTCTTTGATGCTGCAGCATATGGTCTTCGTCTAGGGTTTAGGGATGAGCAGAACGTTTCTGCCTACGAGGGGCGTGTAGAGATTCGGCCTGGCCACCAGCGGCCTTCTGTGATGTGCAGCTTCATCGATGATCCGGACTACCTTCTGCGCACGGCAGACGTGGTGTGCCGGGAGCTAGGGTTTGGCCTGGCCCTAAGAGCTATCCGTGAGTGTCTTGCCTGTACTGCTTACCTACTGTACATGTAGCTTTAAAACAGCAAACAAATACGCTATTGAGCTTGTCTCTACAGAGTAAACCGGTCAAAATTATTTTCTGGTGGGTCTCTGTGCTTGTTGAGAGCCAGATCTTGTTCCTGTTGTGTTGTGCTGTTCAGTTGATGATCAGACGTATGGCTCTCTCCCGGGTGATATGTACCTGCTGCCCGAGTGCGAGGGAGATGAGTTGGTGCTGGACGACTGCAACCATAAGAACATGCTCGAGGCGAACTTTGACTGCGATCCAAAACGTGTCTTTGGAGTCGTCTGTGAAGGTAACTTAGGTTACGTGGGCATTTTGGCCACTGCTATCAGGGAATAACTATTCGAATGTCCGTGGGTATTAAGTAAGGGATTAATCCCCGCTCCTTTAGTTTATTGTGCTTCGGCCTGCAAATGTGAAACTGTCCAGTATACTTTACAGTTCACATGTGAAGTAAAACAAGTCCGATCAATGACCAGTGAATGCAAGCCACTGCCACATTACCAATCACGATTAGAAATTGTCCAAGCTCCTTGCATATCTTCCATTGCCTCTGTTTGTGCTGCAGGAAAGCTGCCAACAACAGCCACTAATGTGACAGGTGAGAGCTGTGCGGCTGTGTGCCTGTGTGTGTGTATATATTATATGTATGTATGTATGTATGTATGTGTGTCTCTCTCCTCTCTCTCTCTCTCTCTCTCTCTCTCTCTCTCTCTCTCTCTCTCTCTCTCTCTCTCTCTCTCTCTCTCTCTCTCTCTCTCTCTCTCTCTCTCTCTCTCTCTCTCTCTCTCTCTCTCTTTTGTACACCAGGAAACGTATTGAAGCAGTTAGCTTGTAACTTGCTTAGAATTCGCTCTAGAACGATCAGACCAATCCACTCATCAGCTTATTTATTTTATTTATTCAACATCTCCTAGCTCGTCATAAGACTGCCAATATTTATGAGAAGTCAGGTGGTAGCCAACCACAGCTTCTATGCTGAATACGCCAATGTGACCTAACCTTTGTCAAAGACGTGTGGTCGGCCTTTTGTGAAGCCAAATGCCCGATTCCATTACTAGATTTGTTGCATTGTTTTGTTGTTTTTGTTTTCCTGTTGCAGCGGATTGCAGCTTTGAGTCAGATCTCTGTGACTGGAGGAACTTGAGAGGAGATCATACAAACTGGCGACGCGAGTCATCGAACGGCACAGGTGAGATTGGCATTAGCAACACAGAAACATTCAGGGTATTCTGCTGTTGTATTGTATTCTACGCGTACAATTACAAGCGATGGCATCCTTCGCCCGTTAGCCCCAACCATCTCTACTGGTTTGTTCTTAAACCATGTCTCTTTGTTGGGCCTAGTCTGCCATGGATCGTTGCTTGTGTAAACCAACAATTTGATCATTTTTCATCTTCTAAGCTGACAAAGGTATTACATTTTGTTTGTCCGCACCACAAAAGCTGGGTCATTCTTGACTGCGTCAAGGCCCCAGGAAAGCGGTGGTACCGTGCATGCATTCCTGGAGAGTACCCTGATGATCAATCAGCCGGATAACTGTCAGATGACGTTCGACCATCTCATGGGTGGCAGTGGCATCGGCGGCATCAAGATAATGATGCGCACCAGCACCTCGCTGGACATGGTGTGGAGTCGCTTTGGCAATCAGAGCGCAGACTGGCTGTCATCCGGAGTTGTTCTTAACTCATCAAGGAACTTCCAGGTAAGCCTTGGCTAGGGAAGTGGTCCCGGTGTTCCAGGACAGTACATGTACTTCAAGCTATACGTATTGTTGTGCAGAGAATCAACAGAAGTAGCAGGTTCATAGTTTTGTGTGCACATGCCACTTCCCTGTCATACCGTACACCGCTGTCAGAGCGTGGACATGAAGCAATGAAGAGCTTGTGTTTACAGTTTGGCTCAAGCTCCAGTCGAATTGGCTACCACACCAGGTGCGTGGCCGGTGACGGGCACAGGGCCCTTGAACCCCAAAACCCCTTCCGACCATCAATCAGCATGTGAATAGTTTGGACACATGGCCTAGGGATTGCTGTACAGTATCTGTTGTGAAGCCAGGGATGCACCCCCCCCCCCCCCCCCCAAGTAAAAGCTGTTCACCTACACGTACGCCACTGCACACCGACACTTCATGAAAGCCTGTTGTAGGCAATAATATGTGGAAGCAGAACGGATCGTGATACATGAAAAGTGGCGGTTTAAGCTTTGTCATATACTGCCGTGTTGCTACTTGATTCTGTTACTCATCTGTCATTCTGTTACTCACATCACGACAATACTTACAATGAATGTAGAGCAACTGCATTATTTATTTTAAAAAAAACCTCCTCGGATAATGAGCCAGTATTAAGTGTAAAAATAGAAGAAGGAAACACAGGGGAACGAGTTATGAAGCAACTATCCACGACTGTAACGTTCTGACTGCTTGTTACCTTGTTACAGTCGTGGATAGTTGCTTCATAACTCGTTCCCCTGTGTTTTCTTTTTCTATTTTTCACTTAAATCTTCCTGTTTGCTGTTTCTACAGATTGTCATCATAGCTGAGTTCTTCTTGGATTCCAATGACAGCCTGGGAATTGATAACATTACCTTCCAGGAGTGTGATGGTGAGTTTAGCTTCTTTGCTATTTGCGGCATTTCTGCGAGACGTTCATAGATGATTTCCGGGGAAGGTCTGAAATACCTGAAGTGATTGGTAAGGTTCTCTGGTTAGTTGACATCACTATTGCCTTTTCTGTTCCATTCATGCTGCTTCTGGTCTCTTCTCCACGTGTTGTTGTCGATGGCGGTAGGCTCGGTCAAGACCAGCGCTGAAGACTTGCTGCAGTGTGATCCGCGTGCTTTCCGCTGTGCCAACTCCAATTGCCTGGCTAAGTCATTCCTGTGCAACGGTTATGACGACTGCGGAGACCAATCTGATGAGATGGACTGTGGTACGTTTTTGTTTTTGTTTGTTTGTTTATTTATTTTTGATTTACTTTTGTCCGTTGCCTCATCAGTACACTGTACAGTTTCAAAGAGGGTCGAACAAAAAAGAAAAATTGTGCTTCTAGCCCTGGTGCATGACAGCTTTCTGCATGGTTACATCAAATGTATTCAATAGGCCTCTCAAAATTCTAGGTGTAACATGTTTTTGAGTAGATGAGGGAGACAAGGAGAACAGCAGTTCCTTAGCCAACACTTTCACTGCAACCGTCACTTGAGTCCTTGATCTCCTCCCACTCAATTCGGTAAAGTATGCGCATTGGATGTCTCCACGTTGTGATTCTGTTTAGACATCCCAATCAGACTGACCGGGGCACCTGGCTCTAATCTGAGTGGAGTTGTGGAGATGAAGAGGTATGGAGATTGGGGAACCATGTGCTTCAAAGGACGTCTGCCTAAGCCGGCCGGCGACGCTATTTGCCAGCACCTGGGGCTCGGTTTCAGCGGAGAGTGGTTCCACACGCCGCACATGTTCCCCGCTCCGGAGACGGAGCTTCCCAGTAGCTCAATGTCGCTGATGGAGGATGCGCCGCACTGCGATCAGAATGTCACGTCCTTCCTGGACTGCCAGCATAGAGGGTGGAACTGGGCAAACTGCACCAGTGGCGGCGCCTATGTTTCCTGCTCCGGAGAAAGGAACTACGAAGTGGGCAATACACTTGGTGAGTGGAAGGAAATGATTTCATGCTCTGAACATTGGTCATTGTTGCCTATGCATACTTGAGTATACATGTGCAGGACCAGCAGAAGCAGTGTTTGATTGGTCCGGCCATACCCTAGCCTTTCATGCGTTGTGTATGATATGGAGGGTATACACATGACCTCCTCAGCAGTAAACACACATTTGTGGCCAAACAGTTGGTCCGGTCATGGCCGGACCAACCAGACCAGTTCAGCCGCCTGTGATGTGGCTATTACTTGGCTCCTGAAAAACACTCATTTTCTGTCAAATAAAACTACATGTGTTCCTAGAAGCAGTGCATCTGAGTGTTGGCCAGTGTTGCCACAATACAAGTTGCTACAATGAAGCTGCGTGAAGCGTCGCCCCGAATTTATGTGTTATCTGGTCGGTGTATTCTGCTTCTTTGCCAGGATCTTGTGACTTTGAGCAGACCTTGTGTGGCTGGTCAAGTCCACAGCGGTTCTTCCGGTACAAGTGGAACATGGCGTCGTCTTTGAGGAGGGTACTGGGCTCAGCCAGGCCGCGCTACGATCACACTTTCAAAGGTGAGCAGCTCGTTCAGACCCGGCTACTACCCGCTGTTCTACTACCACTCCGCGGTGATGTACATGACTGATTGTATATGTATGTCAAACTATCGTGCTTAAAAAGTAGTTGAAATGTCTCTCTGTACATGAGCAGCTCAGGGTAAACATGTACATGCAAGACAACTTTCTTCACTCCAGCAGTTAATTCAAGATACGCCGGTAACTTTTAGCCAGTGCCGCATTCCTTTCCAGTTTTCCACACCAAAAAAACTGTGGCGTGAAGTCAGTGTATTCTCTACCTAGTCTCATGGGATGTATCCTGTTTCCTGCCGTATACGCTTGCAGGCTTCAGGGGAGGCAGCTATTTGATCTTCAACCCGACGTCGGCGTATATTGGTCGGAGGTACGCAGCATACATCCAGACGCCGAATCTTCCTGCAAACGCTTCCCACTGCCACGTGCGTTTCTTCTACTACATGAGCGGCAGGCGAACGGGTGAGCTTCAGGTTCGACGGCGGTTTGTTGGGGAGCTTGGACGCCGGGCTTGGTCAACACTCTTCTGGAAGAAAGGACCACAGTCGCCCGTCAACACTTGGCAACAAGGTATGCATACTCGCACTATGAAGGTCTGGTGCAGTCTGAGTACAAACAGATGCATTGTACTACTTCCAAGTATGTTGCATTTTCATGTATGTCACGTTGTGTCATCATCATTGTTGTCGTCGTCGTTGTTGTCGTATGGTTGTATTTCAATTTGCTCATTGCCGGCTACATCCTCTGCAGTTCAGACCATGAAAGTTCACACGGGGAATGTCTCCGTGTACAACATATCCAATGCACATGCACTTGGACACTCTTCAGTGGAATCATTTCCTGGTTTGTCCTTCAAGCTCTGTTTCTCTCTTCACTACAGGTGATATCACGATCAACTCCGAGAGGCCGTTTTTGCTGCGCATTATCGGCAGGGCACGCTCCACGAATCCAACTAGCGACGAGATTGCAATTGATGACTTCCAATTTATGCCTTGTTCTGGTGAAACAGGTAAGAGAGGCTGATGCTGCATACATACAGCACATATTATATTCTTGGAGTAGACTTCCTGTTCGGCGAGAAAAAAAAAGAAAAAAAGGAAGTGCCCCCTGTGAGGATCGAACTCACGACCTTCAGATTATGAGACTGACGCGCTGCCTACTGCGCTAAGGAGGCAGCTGATATAGCATGTGCTATTGAAAATCTTTCAACCTGAAAATCTAATGCAAACACCCCTGGCTTTCGTGCATGCTGTAATATCAGGCCATACTGAGACCATAAGAGCCAGCGCAAGCGAAAAGGGACGAATATTAATATTTAATTTAGACTTACCATGCATCACATCCCCTGTTTCACCGTGATTATGGGCTAGGCCCGGAAACTTGGTGAACAAGTTAAGTGACGCATGCAGCAAAGACACCGAGTTTGTGCGTTCGAGTTGGGTGACCCCAATGCATCGCATGTCTGTTTTCTCTCGTGCCCCGAATGCAGATGTGGACGAGTGTAATGTGACGAAGCCGTGCGGTGCCAACGCTATCTGCACGAACACCATCACATCGTATACGTGTGATTGTCCGGCCGGGTATTACATGGACGACCAGACTTGCTACAGTGAGTGTGGTACAGCCTAGTACAGTGTTAGTGTGGACTGAACTGTATCTGCATGTATCACATGGTGTGGGTGTGTGTGTGGGGGGGGGGGGGGATGAATGGAACAATTGGTGCTGCACACTTTGCAAGATACGTCCGGGATTTTTAGTCACTCGTGTCACATGCACATACCGTGGCAGCGGCGGTGTTGTAAGCTGTATCTCTGAGTGTCTTGTTGTCCTTTCTAATGTGTTGCTTTATTACTGTCCTGCTTTGCTGTGTTTGCTATTCAGACTCATCAAGTATCGGGCTAGGTAAGGCATAACATGTGGTATTGCTCAGTTGTATTGACAAGTCTGCACCATTCGCATTCACACACCATTAGCCTCGAGCATCCCGGAGACATCCCCATAGGGCGCATTCCAATCTATTCAATTGGCTCATGCAAGCTGCATTACCTGGACACCCTTTGATGTTTACATGAATTCTTGCAATAAGAACAAGCTATCCCGCGACAAAAGCATTAGTTGTCTGATGATTGCCTTAGCATTTAGCTACGTACATGAAACGCAGCGTTACAACGTATGTATATATAATTGGTGGAACCATTCTTTTTGACCTTTGTGGTTACGCTCTGCCCTTGTGGTGTTGAGCACTGTTGAAACCTGGGTATACCCACTTATGTGAATTCTTGCATGTATGAGTGTGTACTAGCTCATGTTGATGGGTTTGCTGTCCTTCTGCGTGGCAGGTGATTGTAACTTTGAGCGTCAGTACTGCGAGTGGGTACGCGTGGGCGCCTACCGCTACCAGTGGAGATTGAACAACGGTTCTACGCCGAGTTGGTTCACTGGGCCAAGCTCAGGAAATCACTTCATCGGTAAGTCAGTTTTGCACTGTAAATCCAAGAATTTCATGAACTGCACAGTACTGCATGGCGGTGCTTGCAGGTAACTATGGAGACTGTACAGTGTATTTGTTGCAGCATGTGTTGACCTCTTATCTGAATCGCAATGGATGGAGGCATTGCAAAGGTGTAGAGATATATTGGAAGGTGTAACATCATATAGCTGGGCATAGTTGTCAATTCCAAATCCACTTCTCGCTGAATTAGAATCAAGATTTGGAACTTAGCTCGACGCAAATCAGGTTTACGCTATCCTAGGTGAGCTGCATGTTGAATTGTAACAAATCACGAGGATACGATAGACCCATGGCGCATTGCCAAATATGGATAACATGAGTAATGCATGTGAGTTACGCAGTACACTGGGATCAGGGATGCACTGTTCAACACCCCCGGACGACCATGCCCAGATGGCTGTGTGGGGTGTCCGCGGTAACAAATTACGTCATTGCGCAACGGGTCTATTATGTCACTAAAGTGCCAGTTTGATTTGTGATTACCGATTTTCAATGCACGGTGTGTACTGGTGATCTCTAGATTCACACGGCTGGTACACTTACTTCGAGACCAGCAGTGTGGTGAAGGGTGCCCGGGCGGCTCTGGAGTCACCACTGCTACCCGGCAACAACTCTAACTACTGCCAGCTGGAGTTCTTCTACCACATGTACGGCGAGCACGTCGGCTCTCTATCCGTCCAGGTGGCCGGCACGGACAACGTCTTCCAGGTAATGTACCGTCGGCGTGGTCCCTTTATCATGCGGCACCATTTGTGTTACTGAAACTCTGCTGGATTAGAAAATCTGATTCACTGCGGCAATGCGCATGAAAAGGACATTTTTGTTGCTGCATATTATGCTGGTTTATAGAGGGTGCTGGTCTATAAAGTGCTGGATTAAAGAGGGACGGCCGAATAGATTACAACACAGGCTATGATACTCGACAGTGCATTCTTCATTTTCAACTTGAAGTCAGCAGCGCATTGTTTGGGCCGCGGTACTAGATGAGATCACTGTTGAATGACGTTGCTGTTGTTGCTGGCTTCCAATTGTAGGAGATGTGGTACGAGGAGCACGATCGTGGTAACACGTGGTTCCCTGCCAAGGTGGCAATTGCGTCTGAAGTTCCCTTCCGTGTGCGATTGGTTGCTCGCAGTGGAAGTGGGTGGCGATCCGACATTGCAATCGATGATGTGTCATTCGGTATCTGCGGCCCTGAAGTGTCAGGTATGTAGGAGAGTAGAACTGCCTGTGCATGCAGTATCCCAGTGATGATCAAATGTAAGGTCTAATTTTTCTTGACTTTCGCATGAACGCATGTGTTAAGAGTTAAATTCCCAAGTTGCTATGGTAACCGAAGTTACTCTGTGAATGTGCATTGTATATTGCCCTCTCTCTCTCTTTCCCTCTCTCTCTCTCTCTCTCTCTCTCTCTCTCTCTCTCTCTCTCTCTCTCTCTCTCTCTCTCTCTCTCTCTCTCTCTCTCTCTCCTCTCTCTCTCTCTCTCTCTCTCTCTCTCTCTCTCTTTCCCTCTCTCTTTCCGGCCTCTCCTACTGGTGGCTTTGTAGAGCCTCAACATGTGAATGCAGTCTATGGCCAGGACCACCTTGAGTATACATGTATGTCTGTGTTGTTGCTGTTCAGGCGATTGTGACTTTGAGTACGACACGTGTGCATGGAAACCAGAAGCGGAACCAGTACCCCGTGCTGATGTTGTTAACGTTACTGATGCTGTGAAGTGGATTAGAGCACGTGCGCCGGAAGTAACAGGCAATATAACATCACCGTCAAAGGACCATACTAGGCAGAGTAAGATGTTGTGAGATTGCATCATTGTTTGGGGGTTTCCCCTGACCATAGAGTGTGTGAGATTACGTCATTGTTTGGGGTTTCCCCTGACCGTAGAGGTTGTGAGATTTCGTCATTATTTGGGGGTTTCCCCCTGACCATAGAGGTTAGGGGATTACATGTACATGTACATCATGGCTAGAGTTTGTCCCTGACCATGAACGTCATGTAATTACATCATTGCTTGGGGTTTCCCCAGCCATAGATGCTGCGGGATCTAGCTCATAATTTGGGATTCTATTTGTCAGGAGTGGTAGCAAAAGCATGCGTTGATCACTTCATACAGAGTATAGTCGTGGTGATGCAACTGACATGACACCTATACACCAAGCATTGTCTTGTTACTGTGGATGTTCCGGTGCGCTCTTTACGCACATGCCCGTTTGTCCTCTTACTAAGCTCTCTGATGATGTCATGTGACTTTGTCTTATTGCCAAACTTAGCACTGCACATGCCCGAGATAGAACTTGAAAGTGATGGCGTCAGAAGTCAATATATCACGACTTTTTGGTTGCAAAAAGGGAACCACTTGGTCACTAGTGATAGCATCTGGAGACTTGACCCTTCATGACCCATACTCAGATGACCCATACTCAGTATTGGGGTAACTTGTACTATAGCAAAATGAAAGTATTAACATGTTTAATTTTTCGTTTAAAAAAAAACAGTAACCCGGACGGCCCCATGACACGCCTAAATCTGGTCTATTGTGTTGGCATGGTTGATTGTCTGATTTCTTGTACCTGTACATCATACTTGCCAACCATACCGGTGTTAGGGTACCCTGTAAAAAGGCCTTAGGCCATGGGGATTGCCCTATTCTAAATTTAAATGATAATAGTATAATAATAACATCGCGTTCTCCTTTCTGGTGCAGATGCTCTTGGCTACTTCTTCCTGGCATCGAAGAGCCCTACTTCCACAGGCGAGGAAATCGTTGGCTTTCAGAGCGGTACACTGCCGGTAAATGACGTGCACTGTCAAGTGTCATTCTACTATCAGCTACGCTTCACCTCTGACCGACTTTGGTGTGAATACAGTCAAGATGGAGGTATGTAACAGTCTCTCTGACAGTGGTAATTCATCATGAGATAGCAGTTGAATTCCAATCGGGCTAAACCAGAGTCAGGATAACGGATTTTTTTAAATATTTTTTTATACTACATGTATGTGCACATCCCTACAAAGTAATATAATGAGAGTGGAGTGCACTGTAGAGGCAATCGTATGTTCTAGATCAGCTATGTGTAAACCCTGGGAGTGTGTGTGTTAACAGACTGTGTGTACACGGGTTCTTGCAGTGTGTAACCGCAGTCACACTTGTTTCTGTTGCTACGTTGTGTAGTATTCTCTATTTCTCCAGCCCAAAACAACGAGCGTCCAGACTCAACTTATGCACAGCAACCAAAGTCGCGAGGTCCGTTTCACGCGCGCACAGGAAACGGCACATGCTACATGCATAACATAACACGATATACTGCTATCATGAATGTCTGGAGTGGCCAAGGAATGCCACAGCACGTATGTAGACGTGAACACTACAGGTTGCGCTCGGTCGGTTAGAGCATTGCTCGCAAATAGCAAGGTCCCTGGTTCGAGTCCCAGTGATGCCGGTGACTTGAGTTGTAGGCAGGTGGCTAAATTTCTTAAAGGGGAAGTTAAGGCAAAAATTAAAATTTCACCAGTTGTAGTCTTCGGGGTGCTGAGTCGAATGGTCGTGGTCCGAGGAAGCTGAGACGCTCCCTTCCTACTTGAATCCCAATCGAACTCGCGCACTTCCACCGAAACTGGGTGACTGCGCCCTACTAGATGGGGATTTGTACGCAAAATGTCACTAAAAGCGCCATTTCGTTCTTATAAAAGCACGAATGACCGCGATTGGCCCATGTGTTGTAGTCTTTTGGACGCTGAGTCGACTGGTTTTGGTCCGAAAAGGCTGCGATGCAGCGTTCCTCCTTTATTCCCAATCGAACATGGTTGAACAAGCGGTCACGTGCTCCTGCGTACAACAGTCACCTGGTCACCGTGCCTGCAGGGTACAACTTACTAGCCTGTTTGACCTTTTTTGGGTGCAGTCCTGTCACTCGAGTTGAACCCGAGTTGAACCTTGGTGTGAAAGTTGTCACCTGCTGGCGTGGTGACCAGGTGATTTGGGCACCCAGGACCACGTGACCGCTTCTTCAACCATGTTCGATTGGGAATAAAGGAGGAACGCTGCATCGCAGCCTTTTCGGACCAAAACCAGTCGACTCAGCGTCCCAAAGACTACAACATATGGGCCAATCGCGGTCATCCGTGCTTTTATAAGAACGAAATGGCGCTTTTAGTGACATTTTGCATACAAATCCCCATCTAGTAGGGCGCAGTCACCCAGTTTCGGTGGAAGTGCGCGAGTTCGATTGGGGATTCAAGTAGGAAGGGAGCGTCTCAGCTTCCTCGGACCAAGACCATTCGACTCAGCACCCCGAAGACTACAACTGGTGAAATTTTAATTTTTGCCTTAACTTCCCCTTTAATACTTGAAATTCTCGGTGAAGTACAAAATTGAAATTGCACTTTGTACAGTATGCTATTTCCCAGCTTTGATCCTCGGTGGCTATGCGTTGTGTTGATTGTCAGGCAAAACCTGGACGGAAACGTGGATGAGAAGCGGATCGACGTCGCCGAACGAGTGGCTATACGGCGCTACCAACATCGATCCATTCGAACCATTCCAGTTCCGCTTCCGGACCAGTCTATCTCCTGGAGGGTATGCGGCCGTTGATGATATTGGGTTTAGAGAGTGCACTACAGGTGAGCCACTTGCAACCAGACTGAATGTCAGACATAGCTTATGTACCACACATACCTATTAATAATAAGAAAAAAAAAAGAAGTTGCAAATGATTTCGCTTCCTGCTTGTTTCAAGGTGGCAGCAAATGTGACATTCTTCACCGTACACGTTTTACGGGGCATTGATATTTTTTATACCCCCTGAAAGTTTTGTGTATTTTTAGCAACACCTAAGGCTTTCCTTCCCAACACTGAGCCTGAGGTGTTTAATATCATGTATCCTCGATAGGATGCTGTATATACATCACTAGAGATATGCTGAAACATCCTGGGAACTGAGAGCCTCTTCTTCACATCGAAATATGCTGCCTGAAGAACCTTGAACTGAGAAGGCACGAACGTTTACCCGTAAAAACCATTTCAGAACGCTATTGAAGAACCTGAAGTTTATTCTCCTACTAAGTGAATAATGCTGCCTGTCAAGATCTCACTCCGCTTTGTTTGTGTATTATGCACTCTGTGTTCAAACTCTAGTCTTCAGCGGTTTAGACTTCACACAGTTCTCCAACAAAACACTGGGTGAAATCTTCCAACCAGGTTTACGTGTGGTGCGCGGATATGATTGGATCTGGGGCACCATTGATGGGTGAGTTCGTGATCGTGGAGAAGATTGATAAGGAGGGGTACATTTTGACCCGTCGTCATTCCTTTCAATTACAAGCAGGGTGTATCTTACTTTATGCATGGATATGGAACATCTTATGCTGTTTGCCTCCCTCAAAATCTTACCCTGGCGTTCAATGGCGGTTTTGCCCTTGGACACAGTGATACGTCTTTCACTACGAAAGCTGCTAAGATACAAACGGCATCATATTGTCAGCTGCCTCCTTAGCGCAGTAGGCAGCGCGTCAGTCTCATAATCTGAAGGTCGTGAGTTCGATCCTCACAGGGGGCACATCACTTTTTTTGCTGCTTATTGTATTTCTTCTGCACCCCCACCATTCGCTCTAAGGGTGCGTTCGAATTGTCTTCATCAAGTTTTCGAACAAATTCTGAAAAGAGATCAGTTGAAGTGTGCCCTTAGAACGGTTTCTATCTTAACGTTTTTCAGTGGAATTGTCATGGCGATAATGACGTCCCATCCGATCGATAATGACGTCCCATCCGATCTCGTCGTAGCTGTTCCAAATTCTTCAGAACTAATCCACCTCTCCCATCGGATGAGGCTGTGGAGTTTCGAGGAGACTCGCTTTCTAAAGAGGCCAATAAGCCACCTCTTCAGAAAAACGAAACTCCTCAAAAATACTGAAACTCCTCCCGAAAGATTTCTTGCCCAACATTGGTCTCATGAGGGAAGGGAGATGTTAAAGAGAACTTTCCTATTGCAAACAGTGACTTAGATCGCGCGGTGAAGAACATGAATTTGTTATCCAGGCTTACGCTGCGCAGCTGTACTGTCAAAATTATACTTGATTTTGTTCTTTGAATTCGTTATCAAGGCTTACGCTGCGCAGCTGTACTGTCAAAATGATACTTGATTTTGTTCTTTGAATTCGTTATCAAGGCTTACGCTGCGCAGCTGTACTGTCAAAATGATACTTGATTTTGTTCTTTGCACCGTGACCTGCAAATCGGTCTACTGCAGTACAGTACCATGGTGTTGGTTTCTGCTTATTAACTATTCCTGTTCCTGCGTCTCCAGGCGTAAGCCCAGGGTGATGATACGCATCATATTATAGATTTCTTTGTTGAAATCTCTCTTCCCCCCGCAGATACGCACCTGGTACAGTGATTGGTGGTTTGGACAAGGACAATCGTGTTCGAGTTCGCTGGGACAACGGGTACACGAAGGGCTTCTATCGGATTGCCGTCGACGACCGGTATGATCTGGATGTGCTGGGAGGTGAGTTCTATAGCGTGCGTGTGCAAACTGTCATGGTGAATTGCGATTGGTGGATGAATGCGTGAATGGGCATGACTTGGCCATGACATCAATGTAACTAGAAAACAGACATAGTTTTTCAATCCGAGATGTGCATGAATGCATGACCCTGTCTGCACTCTTCCAAGATGCTGGAATAATCCTCATGCCTCTGCTTTAGCACACCCGTATCTGCTTTAGCACACCCGTATCTGCTTTAGCACACCCGTATCTGCTTTAGCACACCCGTATCTGCTTTAGCACACCCGTATCTGCTTTAGCACACCCGTATCTGCTTTAGCACACCCGTATCTGCTTTAGCACACCCGTATCTGCTTTAGCACACCCGTATCTGCTTTAGCACACCCGTATCTGCTTTAGCACACCCGTATCTGCTTTAGCACACCCGTATCTGCTTTAGCACACCCGTATCTGCTTTAGCACACCCGTATCTGCTTTAGCACACCCGTATCTGCTTTAGCACACCCGTATCTGCTTTAGCACACCCGTATCTGCTTTAGCACACCCGTATCTGCTTTAGCACACCCGTATCTGCTTTAGCACACCCGTATCTGCTTTAGCACACCCGTATCTGCTTTAGCACACCCGTATCTGCTTTAGCACACCCGTATCTGCTTTAGCACACCCGTATCTGCTTTAGCACACCCGTATCTGCTTTAGCACACCCGTATCTGCTTTAGCACACCCGTATCTGCTTTAGCACACCCGTATCTGCTTTAGCACACCCGTATCTGCTTTAGCACACCCGTATCTGCTTTAGCACACCCGTATCTGCTTTCACCTCCCACCGCTTTAGGAGCTGCATCTGCGCCTTGATCCTTGAAGGGTGGTGGCGTTCCTACGGATGCGGAAAACCCGGCTTCCAGCCGAGTCTCACGCGAACCGTGAAAAAAAAAAAAAAAATTATCTGCTTTAGCACACCCGTATCTGCTTTAGCACACCCGTATCTGCTTTAGCACACCCGTATCTGCTTTAGCACACCCGTATCTGCTTTAGCACACCCGTATCTGCTTTAGCACACCCGTATCTGCTTTAGCACACCCGTATCTGCTTTAGCACACCCGTATCTGCTTTAGCACACCCGTATCTGCTTTAGCACACCCGTATCTGCTTTAGCACACCCGTATCTGCTTTAGCACACCCGTATCTGCTTTAGCACACCCGTATCTGCTTTAGCACACCCGTATCTGCTTTAGCACACCCGTATCTGCTTTAGCACACCCGTATCTGCTTTAGCACACCCGTATCTGCTTTAGCACACCCGTATCTGCTTTAGCACACCCGTATCTGCTTTAGCACACCCGTATCTGCTTTCACCTCCCACCGCTTTAGGAGCTGCATCTGCGCCTTGATCCTTGAAGGGTGGTGGCGTTCCTACGGATGCGGAAAACCCGGCTTCCAGCCGAGTCTCACGCGAACCGTGAAAAAAAAAAAAAAAATTATCTGCTTTAGCACACCCGTATCTGCTTTAGCACACCCGTATCTGCTTTAGCACACCCGTATCTGCTTTAGCACACCCGTATCTGCTTTAGCACACCCGTATCTGCTTTAGCACACCCGTATCTGCTTTAGCACACCCGTATCTGCTTTAGCACACCCGTATCTGCTTTAGCACACCCGTATCTGCTTTAGCAAACCCGTATCTGCTTTAGCACACCCGTATCTGCTTTAGCACACCCGTATCTGCTTTAGCACACCCGTATCTGCTTTAGCACACCCGTATCTGCTTTAGCACACCCGTATCTGCTTTAGCACACCCGTATCTGCTTTAGCACACCCGTATCTGCTTTAGCACACCCGTATCTGCTTTAGCACACCCGTATCTGCTTTAGCACACCCGTATCTGCTTTAGCACACCCGTATCTGCTTTAGCACACCCGTATCTGCTTTAGCACACCCGTATCTGCTTTAGCACACCCGTATCTGCTTTAGCACACCCGTATCTGCTTTAGCACACCCGTATCTGCTTTAGCACACCCGTATCTGCTTTAGCACACCCGTATCTGCTTTAGCACACCCGTATCTGCTTTAGCACACCCGTATCTGCTTTAGCACACCCGTATCTGCTTTAGCACACCCGTATCTGCTTTAGCACACCCGTATCTGCTTTAGCACACCCGTATCTGCTTTAGCACACCCGTATCTGCTTTAGCACACCCGTATCTGCTTTAGCACACCCGTATCTGCTTTAGCACACCCGTATCTGCTTTAGTACACCCGTATCTGCTTTAGCACACCCGTATCTGCTTTAGCACACCCGTATCTGCTTTAGCACACCCGTAGATGACCTTGTCACTTACCTACAGTACACCGGTAACGTCTTCTATTGTTTCATCATCGCAAGGGAGCTCAGAAATCCACAAACCGGCTTTGGGCTGCTGAGCTTTTAGCACGAAGCACAGCTGCCCAGCACACGGAAGGGATATCATATTATTCAACCGGCCCAAATTCCCGCCATCAATCACCATGTGTTGCACCGCCCTGCCTCTGGCTAACAGGAAAAGGAAGAGTTTCCTGTATCTTGTTGTCAGCAGTATGATTCTTAGGAAGGCACTGTTGCAGTCAAGCGCACATATTTTATAGCCTCCTTCTCTCCTCCCGGTCTCTCACTGCCCAAAGGTGCTATTTAGTTTATCACAAATTCTTTTTTTGAAGATTTTCCAAGAAATCTGCACCAGTTACAAAGTACAGATGAATGGTTCTTGTAAGGTGTGTACAAGGCATGTTTATGGTATGAGCTGCTTCATTAACAGCTGTAGTACTGCAGTACTCTTATATTGCTCTTACCATTGTCTTTCTTATGCTCGTGGTACAGTGGCATCGATCAGTAATTGCTCTATTCTCGACTCATTGGAAAGGTCTTGGAAAGTCTGTCATGAGGAAGCGCTATGTTCGTTCGACTCCTCGGCCTACGTGACCTGCACATGCGACGACGGCTTCGCTGGTGATGGGCATACATGTCTCAGTGAGTCAACCGTGATCTGCGACGCCGGTAACCGTGTTAGAAACCGTTTCTACGATTCCCTTTGCCTTTCAAATCTCATTTTATAAGAAAGAAAAAGGACCAAGGAACTACAAGTTACGCTATCATGTCCACTAACACCACCAGTTACTAAACAATCAGCTTGGCTCTCCATCCGAGTTCAAATCTCATTTTGTCGTTATTATTTGTACACTCCTTCTGGATGCCCTGTATTGTGATCCCCAAAGGGAATATTCATGGATCACGAACAGCTAGCCTATGTACTCTGCACACTGTCCACCTTTAGGAACACACACCATGCACACGTACCCTTATCTCCAGCAGTGCATGCAGATTTGCAGACCACCGCAAGCTAGGGATAGGTGAGGTGCATATCTGGATACGTTTTCTTCACTTCCCGACTTCAGCACACAGCATTATAGTGTCAAAATTCAATCTGATTCGTGCAGGTTGCGTAGTTGTGGAAGGCCTTCACCATCATCACAAGTCCTGCATCACAGAACATAGTTGACCCGTAGATAAACCTGTTAACTAACGTTGACCAGAGAAAACTGTGGTATTTCCTTGTTCCTGTGCTTTACAGATGCCAGCATCGGCGGAGTGGGGAACTGTATGTTTAGCGACGATTTCTGTGGATGGGACCATGCAGAGGACAGCGCACACCACTTCCTCTTGCACAAAGGAAAGACGGTTAGTGAAGGCACTGGCCCCAAGACGGCAAGCTGGCATGCACGTAAGTACCGGAGTGATCTTATGTACCCGCTATGATTGGCCGTTGGACAATAATTAGCAATTTACTGTGATCACAGCTACAACATAGCTCAGTGGTTTGAGCATCGCTGGCCTCAAGCAAAGGTCTCTGGTTCGAGACCGGGTGGGGACAGTTAACATTTTTCTTCAGACTTTTCCCGTTTGCGTCTTTCCCTCAAGCCCATGAGTAATTTACTATGTATGTATTGCTGTCTCTGTCTACTAACAATGTGCTATACCAACTTGCGATATGCACCTTCCGTCCCCTGGTGATTGACATGCACCTTTCTATGTGAGGCATTCAGCGCTATGTTATTGCTCCAGCCATGATAACTATACAGAACTTCACAAGGGATATGCCTGCTGGTGTGTTGCTGCTCCGATAAAACTTATCTTGTTGACTCTACAGAAGTTCACAAGGGATATACCTTATGTGTTGTTGCTGCGCCGATAAAGCCTATCTTGTTGACTCTACAGAAGTTCACCTTATGTGTTGTTGCTGCTCCGATAAAATTTGTCTCTCTGACTCTACAGAAGTTCACAAGGGATATATCTTCTCTGAGGGCAGTCATCGCAAGGAGGGCTCCATTTCCTCCATCATCAGTCCTATGCTTCCAGCTACGGAGCAGTACTGCCAAGTGGGATTCCACTACCACATGCAGGGTAACAACATGGGCACGCTGAAAGCCTACAGAGTGACGAGAAACAGCACCGGAGACACCACCGAGCTGCTGTGGACGCAGTCGGGCGACCGTGGCCGTGCCTGGCATATGACTCAGATTCCAACGCAGGCCGACTCTCTCTTCCGTATCAAGATAGTGGCGGTGCAAGGTGATGGCTACGCGTCGGACATCGCTCTAGATATGCTGCAGTTTTCCGAGTGCACCACACATCTAGCAGGTACTGTTCTCAAGGATTCGAACTAAACATATTACCCTGGTTTGACACAAATGTTACGTGTACTGGCTAGGCATGCATTATCCATTGTTGCAGTAGTGTGTGTGTGGGGGGGGGGGGGGGGGGTGTACCTGTGCGTGCGCGCGCGCGTGTAATGCAATACAGTGCAGGCCGGTAAAGTCCAACCGCTCATTCGAGCACTGTATGTATGGCGAGTTGGATTGTGCGAGTTTCATGCTGCAAGTGTGTGTCTGTGGTGTGAGTTGCGTTCCATGCTCTGAGCCGAGTAGAACGTTGCATGGCTGCTGCTGCTGACTTGGTGCTGGCCGTGTAGAGTGCACCTGTAGTGGGACTTCACTGGCTAGCCGGGGATGCGGGGACCTCACTGGCTAGCCGGGGATGCGGGGACCTCACTGGCTAGCCGGGGATGCGTGGACCTCACTGGCTAGTCGGGGATGCGGGGACCTCACTGGCTAGCCGGGGATACGGGGACCTCACTGGCTACTGTAAGACCACTAAAATTAACGAAAATTTAATTCTAACGCTTCAAAGTTTTAAGTCGCTATGTGCAAAACGATATGTACATGTACAGTCATTTGACGGTTTTGACGGACAGAATTCATTAGCATTTCACTTCGCAAGTTGGTAGTGCGGTAAATGGTCCACTGTGTTAACTCTTGCTCTACAGGCTCTTGTGACTTTGAGGAGAACCTGCTGGGAGATCCGAACTGTGGCTGGACAAGCACAGCAGTGACGGTATCCAACACGTCACTGAGCTTTCAACGTGCCAGCGAACAGACAGTGGAGATCAAAGGCCTCCCGGAAGTCATACAGGACCATACACGAGCGAGTAAGAAGTGCCAACGGTGAAATGTATTATTTCCAGATCTCTGCTTTACTAAGACGGATGAAACTTGTTTGTTGACGTGAGGGTCCAAATGATTGAGAGCATTGGAATTAGCTCATGGTAACTGTTCCACTGTTACAATTGTATTGAGCTTTTTTGCAGTGGCAAACTGAGATTGCTCCAAGAAAAGACTAAGTGTCTCAACATCTAGAACTCAGAGCACATTCTCAGTCAGGTGATGTTGCAAAGTACTTGAAACTAGTGGCTCTGACAGAACTCCCCCCCCCCCCCCCCCGTCCAGTGTCGAGAAGATTTGTTTGTGACAGAGCGTGCCACAGTAGTATTCCTTCAGCATGCAGTATTGTGTGTGTGTGTGTGTGTACATGTGTGTGTGTGTACATGTGTGTGTGTGTACATGTGTGTGTGTGTACATGTGTGTGTGTGTGTGTGTGTGTGTGTGTGTGTGTGTACATGCGTATGTGTGTGTGTGTGTACATGTGTGTGTGTGTACATGTGTGTGTGTGTACATGTGTGTGTGTGTACATGTGTGTGTGTGTGTGTGTGTGTGTGTGTGTGTACATGCGTATGTGTGTGTGTGTGTACATGTGTGTGTGTGTACATGTGTGTGTGTGTACATGCGTATGTGTGTGTGTGTGTGTACATGTGTGTGTGTGTACATGTGTGTGTGTGTGTGTACATGCGTATGTGTGTGTGTGTGTGTGTACATGTGTGTGTGTGTACATGTGTGTGTGTGTACATGTGTGTGTGTGTGTGTGTGTGTGTGTGTGTGTGTACATGCGTATGTGTGTGTGTGTGTACATGTGTGTGTGTGTACATGTGTGTGTGTGTACATGCGTATGTGTGTGTGTGTGTGTACATGTGTGTGTGTGTACATGTGTGTGTGTGTGTGTACATGCGTATGTGTGTGTGTGTGTGTGTACATGTGTGTGTGTGTACATGTGTGTGTGTGTACATGTGTGTGTGTGTGTGTGTGTGTGTGTGTGTGTGTGTACATGCGTATGTGTGTGTGTGTGTACATGTGTGTGTGTGTACATGTGTGTGTGTGTACATGCGTATGTGTGTGTGTGTGTGTACATGTGTGTGTGTGTACATGTGTGTGTGTGTGTGTACATGCGTATGTGTGTGTGTGTGTGTGTACATGTGTGTGTGTGTACATGTGTGTGTGTGTGTGTGTGTGTGTGTGTGTGTACATGTGTGTGTGTGTGTGTGTGTGTGTGTGTGTGTGTGTGTACATGTGTGTGTGTGTGTGTGTGTGTGTGTGTGTGTGTACATGCGTATGTGTGTGTGTGTGTACATGTGTGTGTGTACATGTGTGTGTGTGTACATGCGTATGTACATGCGTATGTGTGTGTGTGTGTGTGTACATGTGTGTGTGTGTACATGTGTGTGTGTGTACATGTGTGTGTGTGTACATGTGTGTGTGTGTACATGTGTGTGTGTGTGTGTGTGTGTGTGTGTGTGTACATGCGTATGTGTGTGTGTGTGTACATGTGTGTGTGTGTACATGTGTGTGTGTGTACATGCGTATGTGTGTGTGTGTGTGTACATGTGTGTGTGTGTACATGTGTGTGTGTGTGTGTACATGCGTATGTGTGTGTGTGTGTGTGTACATGTGTGTGTGTGTACATGTGTGTGTGTGTACATGTGTGTGTGTGTGTGTGTGTGTGTGTGTGTGTACATGCGTATGTGTGTGTGTGTGTACATGTGTGTGTGTGTACATGTGTGTGTGTGTACATGCGTATGTGTGTGTGTGTGTGTACATGTGTGTGTGTGTACATGTGTGTGTGTGTGTGTACATGCGTATGTGTGTGTGTGTGTGTGTACATGTGTGTGTGTGTACATGTGTGTGTGTGTGTGTGTGTGTGTGTGTGTACATGTGTGTGTGTGTGTGTGTGTGTGTGTGTGTGTGTGTGTGTGTACATGTGTGTGTGTGTGTGTGTGTGTGTGTGTGTGTGTACATGCGTATGTGTGTGTGTGTGTACATGTGTGTGTGTGTACATGTGTGTGTGTGTACATGCGTATGTGTGTGTGTGTGTGTACATGTGTGTGTGTGTACATGTGTGTGTGTGTATGTGTGTGTGTGTGTGTACATGTGTGTGTGTGTACATGTGTGTGTGTGTGTGTACATGCGTATGTGTGTGTGTGTGTGTGTACATGTGTGTGTGTGTACATGTGTGTGTGTGTACATGTGTGTGTGTGTGTGTGTGTGTGTGTGTGTGTGTGTGTACATGCGTATGTGTGTGTGTGTGTACATGTGTGTGTGTGTACATGTGTGTGTGTGTACATGCGTATGTGTGTGTGTGTGTGTACATGTGTGTGTGTGTACATGTGTGTGTGTGTGTGTACATGCGTATGTGTGTGTGTGTGTGTGTACATGTGTGTGTGTGTACATGTGTGTGTGTGTGTGTGTGTGTGTGTGTGTACATGTGTGTGTGTGTGTGTGTGTGTGTGTGTGTGTGTGTGTACATGTGTGTGTGTGTGTGTGTGTGTGTGTGTGTGTACATGCGTATGTGTGTGTGTGTGTACATGTGTGTGTGTACATGTGTGTGTGTGTACATGCGTATGTGTGTGTGTGTGTGTACATGTGTGTGTGTGTACATGTGTGTGTGTGTGTGTACATGCGTATGTGTGTGTGTGTGTGTGTACATGTGTGTGTGTGTACATGTGTGTGTGTGTACATGTGTGTGTGTGTACATGTGTGTGTGTGTACATGTGTGTGTGTGTGTGTGTGTGTGTGTGTGTGTGTACATGCGTATGTGTGTGTGTGTGTACATGTGTGTGTGTGTACATGTGTGTGTGTGTACATGCGTATGTGTGTGTGTGTGTGTACATGTGTGTGTGTGTACATGTGTGTGTGTGTGTGTACATGCGTATGTGTGTGTGTGTGTGTGTACATGTGTGTGTGTGTACATGTGTGTGTGTGTACATGTGTGTGTGTGTGTGTGTGTGTGTGTGTGTGTGTACATGCGTATGTGTGTGTGTGTGTACATGTGTGTGTGTGTACATGTGTGTGTGTGTACATGCGTATGTGTGTGTGTGTGTGTACATGTGTGTGTGTGTACATGTGTGTGTGTGTGTGTACATGCGTATGTGTGTGTGTGTGTGTGTACATGTGTGTGTGTGTACATGTGTGTGTGTGTGTGTGTGTGTGTGTGTGTACATGTGTGTGTGTGTGTGTGTGTGTGTGTGTGTGTGTGTGTGTACATGTGTGTGTGTGTGTGTGTGTGTGTGTGTGTGTGTACATGCGTATGTGTGTGTGTGTGTACATGTGTGTGTGTGTACATGTGTGTGTGTGTACATGCGTATGTGTGTGTGTGTGTGTACATGTGTGTGTGTGTACATGTGTGTGTGTGTGTGTACATGCGTATGTGTGTGTGTGTGTGTGTACATGTGTGTGTGTGTACATGTGTGTGTGTGTGTGTGTGTGTGTGTGTGTACATGTGTGTGTGTGTGTGTGTGTGTGTGTGTGTGTGTGTGTGTGTGTGTACATGTGTGTGTGTGTGTGTGTGTGTGTGTGTACATGTGTGTGTGTGTGTGTGTGTGTGTGTGTGTGTGTGTGTGTGTGTGTGTGTGTGTGTGTGTGTGTGTGTGTGTGTGTGTACATGTGTGTGTGTGTGTGTGTACATGTGTGTGTGTGCACATGTGCATGTGATCCATTACATGTGCTCTCCTCCTGTTGTATCGGGGCAGATCCAGAGATCTCTACAGGGTGGAGTTCCAGTTTAGCCAAAACTGAGTAGCTGATACATGTACATGCATGTGGTTGCCAGTAGTACATTTGAGAAATATAGGGGGTTCCACTGGACCCGAAGAATGCCCCCCCCCCCCCCCCCCCCCCCCCCGCACGGATCCACCCCTGTGTGACACGTTATATTATGTTTTGCTGTAAGCCATCTTGAACTGTGTTTGCTACTCCGCTTAAGATTCTCGTGGCCACTTCATGATGTTGAGTGCAACACAAGAACAAGCAGTGGAGCAGCCAATAGTGCTGCAGAGTCCGGAGCTTCCCTTCGACGGCAAGCATTGTCAGGTTAGTGTGGTGCATGCGCGACTCTCTCTCTCTCTCTCTCTCTCTCTCTCTCTCACACACACACACACGCACGCACACACACACACACACACACACACACACACACACACACACACACACACACACACACACACAAGAACCAACATGCCATTACTAGCTAGTCCTGACAAGAAGCATTTCAAACGTGGAGCATGCGCAGCATGTAGGTTACATCTCTGCAGTAAGTTCATTTCAGATCCTCTAGTCTTCACTTTGATGTAGACATCACCTCGGTGGATGCTTAAAAAAGGATATCCAGGAGTCATCGATTCGGACTTGTCTTTACGCGTTGGCATCGGGTTTATCAAAACCAAGCGTTAGCTCAGGTCAGACTGAGCTAGCCCATCACCTCCGATTTTATACCAGCGGCAGATGTTTTGTCTAATAGTGGGTGGGTGTGAAAGGATAAGTCAGCCAGCCAGTACATGTAACATGTATATGCGCCAGAGCCCATTGTATACATTCCAGATACCTCAGCACAATGTGTGTGCCTGTGTGGCTGTGTGGCTGTGTGTGACTGTGTGTGTGTCCTTGGGAGGGGGAGGGGTAGATGCATGAAGAGCTAGCTGTTGAAAATTATACTATTAAAAGAAAGTGCATGGCGAGTGGAATGTCTCCTGTCAGCAGCATACACAAGTAACTGATTGTTTTGTGACTTTCTTTGCTGCTCTATAGATGGGCTTCTACTATCGTGCCTTTATGGACGACGAAGGCAGTGGCAATATTGCTCTGTATGCAAACTTGAATGGAAGTCGAGTCCAGTGGTGGAGTCTTTCCGAGTCCAGTCCGATACAAGGTAACTCACCGTAAACGCCTGTGAATATGTATCTGTTCTAAAAAAAAATACCCCCATTCATTCCTTTGACTCTGTCTTTTCAAGTCAAGTTCAGCCCGATAAACATACTAAATACCGGTACGGTTTTCACGTGCAGCGCATAGCATATACATGAAAGTTGACTTCTCCACTGCACACAACTCGGGTCCGAAAGTTAGTTCATTCCCGGAACAGTTCCCGCCTAAAAGTTAGTACTGGTGGTACCACTAAATTCGAAAGTAGGTACTTATTTACGAACTGTTTACGGTATGTTATGAGATGGTGGACACAGAGTCACGTTGAACATGTACAGACATGCTCACTTTCCATGATTGTTTATGATACTCTCCGTTATGCAGCTGCAAGCAACGGCTGGGTTTACCAAGCTCTCAACCTGAACTACACCGAGTCTTTGCGCATAGAGTTTGAAGTCACTGTCAGCAGTGGTATGATGCTGGTGGGCATTGATGACATCACTTTCAGAGAATGCGGAAAAAGTAAGTATGCCAATATGCAAGAGAGAGAGAGAGAGAGAGAGAGAGAGAGAGAGAGAGAGAGATTGGAAGCTGTGTCACAACTCTGAGTTTCACGTATTACTACGGTCATCAGGCAACCATGGATGTACGGCAGTTTTTTGGGGTTGTTCCAATTTCCGTCCGTAACTGTTGGTAGCGTGCCCTACCACATGACATTAGACTACAGTACATTACCCCACAGTGTAGCAGCAGATTAAAAAGTGTGGACTGAATGTGTGTAGCCCCTGACAGAAGTAGCCTACACACAAACGAGCACGGAAAGCTAACTGTTACACATCACCAGAAACAAGCGTGTGCTCAGGACACCGCCTGTGATATTCATATGTTCTGCGTCCTTGAATACTGGTTCGTCAGGCGAAATAGCATGTCATAGTACATTCGAGATCAGCGGGAAGAAGATGACGTTGTCCACTAATTTTAGTATCTGTGCACACGAATCTGCTGTGTGTGTTACTCTGTGTGTCAGCTATGGCATCATCGCCTGTGGTTCCATGCCTAGCATGTACGTCTGAACCATCCTGCCAAGTTTGAATGACGTAGGTTGAGCGATCGCTCCGCGAAACATACTTTTTGAAATTCTCTTCATAGTATATCTTCCACCACTGAAATTTCGAATTTCTTCGAATTTTTTGCTGAGAGGGGTGGCTTGCAACCTCGATATGGCTTGTTCCAGGCACGCTTTGGAGCCATCGCCTGTTGAAGTAGTGGCGGGGATCTGCCCTGCAACTGCTACAACAAAAAATGATTCAATCTGAGAAAGGGTGAGACCTCGAATCTCGGTTGAATATTGAGTATTTCAAGCCTTTTCACGACGAAGATGGAGTTCTTTTTGGAGATGGACGTCGCGGCAAAGGACATGGTGTCCGACTTCTGGCGTCTGGTGAAGCCAGGGATCATTTGTCCAGTCAGGTCGGCAGCCTAACCGTCGGTAAGCTTGTGTTTGGATCCCGTTCTGCTCGATGTGGTAGATCACAAACAATTTGATATCGCACAAATTGATCTCAGCATCGTGCGTACGGTATTTTATATTCAGAAAATCCCAAAGTGTCTCTGTGTAGCCGTCCTATGCCACGAGAAACTCCAATCAGGCTCCTATGTCCTCTGCCTTCATGATTGAATGTCCACTTCGTTTGAACAACGAACACAACAATCGAGGACGGCTTTGCAATGAAAAATACAGCTATACTGGAGCTGAAAAAAAGAAGAAAAAAACGTGCTCAGGATGAGACTCGAGTACACGCATACTCTCCCAGCAGGTGAAACGCAAATTTTTGTGAAAAATGCGTGTCGCCGACTGACCAGTAATTTCGCCTGACGGTTCAGCAACAAGAAGAGATTCCATAATGTTTGAAACGGATGTGAATCATAAGATTGCATTGGAAAAGGTGACGTATTAACAGGCTCACACCACACAAGATAATACCGGGGATGTATGGAATGGCTTCCTGATCCAGGACTGTGAGCTTGGGCTGATTGCCCAGTGCTTCGAATATTCAACTTCCATTTGCTTTGATTCGAATTTCCCGGGTGTTCTCAACTTGCCATTGTGATAATCCCTTGCATACCAATGCCCTTGTTCATGCTGCTTCTCTGCATACAGCTGCAACTGATTTGGATTACTCCCTATTCACACAAGAGCAAATTCGTGTGCTGTTCCAAGAGGGAACGCGAGTGGTGAGAGGTACTTCCTGGAGTTGGGGAACGGAGGACGGCTACGGCGCTGGAACCATCTACATGGGACTTGATATGCGTATTGGCAGGTATGTGCATTTTGCATTTACGCTAGCATGCATGCAACACAAGAACGCAGTACCCGGCAAACGTGGCACAACTCACATATCACGCTCGGTGGAAAAAATTCTATTGCACATTCTGGACCCAGCTTAGAATTAAAAAAATTGGTCTTCATTTGTGTGTGTGGATATGTGTGTGTGTGTGTGTGTGTGTGTGTGTGTGTGTGTGTGTGTGTCGATGTGTCTGAGTGTGTCTGTGTTTTTCTTGGCGCACACAGTTACATGTGTAGCTGCTTGGATTCTGTTCTCTGTTCTGTGTCCTGCCTTGCTTCATTCCAGCCATACTTATATTGGCTGGGTGCAGACGAAATGGGACTCTGGCTACATCAGCATGTGCCGTATGGGGGTCGGCGGATTCTACGACCTTGAGCGGTTGGATGGTAAGCTTAGGTTCATGCCTTTCCTCACTGTTTGGTGCATGGTAGTGATGTCATAGTTCATATAACGAGGTGCTGACATACCAGAGTCAGATAGGCTTGGGTGTGGAAAGAATACTTACTGTGGTCTCCATCACTAATATGGTGAGAACACAGTGCTGTTATAATCTATCAGTCATTCCAAGTGATTGTCATGAACTGCGTACTGCTGTTTTCATTTTTCTTCGTCGTCTTTTCAGAGTTTGACCCGTGTAACTTCCCGTATGAGAATGGAACAACTAATCCATGTGATGCCAATGCTACGTGTAGCTCTGTGATTCATCACAACTTCACCTGTACCTGCCAGGAGGGCTACATCGGCAATGGGTTCTCCTGTGTAGGTAAGAATGCATGGCGATGTCAAGTGGTGACTTCTGCTTACACAGCTAGCTAAGCTGAATGCTGAGAGAGATGCCGAGAGGACAGCAATTGACTGATAACAGATGATAGGATTTGTGAACTTTCAAAGACATCTCCACAAAAACTTGTTGCGCAGCTTCTGTGTTCTATGTTCCAAAACACCGTGCTAGTTGGTTGATGTAAGCAATGTATTATTATTACTTACTTACTTATTAAAAGCATGCCCGCGTAGGTGGCGGAGGTTCCACTTTCGCTTACCGTAGTTCCGCGCATATAAGCCCATGGGCTTATATGTGAAATAATGCAGTTTGAGGATAAAATATCCAGTAAAACATGTTCGTTTTTTAGCCCATGGGCCAATATTCGAATTTTGAAGGTTCACGAAAAAGTACAAGTCCATGCTCATAGTGGGTCTACCATACTCTACTGGTAAACTGCACTGACCTGCTGTACCATGGTAGGAAGAGTCCACAATGTGAAAAATTCTTGTTGACACGCGAGTTGCATTTGTGTCTGTTTATAAGCCCATGGGCTTATAAACGGAGGTGGGCTTATATCCGGATCTAGGCCCGTGGGCTTATATCCGGATCTAGGCCCGTGGGCTTATATGCACGGAATTACGGTATGCCATTCAGGATTGATGTCTGAAGAGTAATACAATGAAATGACAGAAACGACGTTGACACAAGCCGTTAGCATCAATAACAATTGGCCTAATGGAAAACTTAATCGAAAGTATAAAATAAAAATAGAATATACATACATACAACATGTCTGGCGGACACCTTCCTAAGGGTGTGCAGACTCCACTGTAGCCACTTCATGTTTCACACAGTTATACACCAGTACTCGAAAACGGTCTCTCGGCTACAAATTCTTCCAAAAATAATAAATATCCAGATTTTCGGGCCAGGCCCATCTTCAGGAATAATAAATCCAGAACAAAGACTATGGTTATTATATCTGACAAAAACGGTGAGACAAATAGCACCAAAAGAAAAAGGGATAGCGCTAACAAAACCAGCAGCAACAGGAGCAGTAAAAACACACACGAAGCAGGCTAGAACATTACAGTCCCCCCAAACCAAGCAGTAGCATCACACCATCCCTAGCGAGTACTGGTGTATGTCTGGCGGAATCACGTGAATCACGAGAATCTATGTACAAGAGTGAATGGTCAGTGTAAGCAATGAGTAGCCATGCCAGAGTGATTGTTGGCGGCATCTCCTGACAATCCTTCCCTGTGCTCTGTGTTGCCTGCTTTCTTCTCTGCTCGATGCTGTGCACAGAGAAAGCCAGCTATGGTAAGAAATTATAGTAACCTGTGATGAATGCCATGGTGAAGTGATTGACCCGCTGATGTAGATGCAAGGAGTTGATCACAAAGCATGATGTCGCTTTTCTATGGCTGCAACTCTATGTCTTAGCATTGACCCAATCATCTACTGTTCTTGTTCATTTTCTTTTTGCCTGTATTCCACTTGACAAGAAAGTTTGAAGTGTGCTTGTCGAAACTCTCAAAATGTTGCTTGTCAAGTGAAGTTTTTCCTCTTGCTAAGTTTAATAGCACTTGTTTGTCTCTTGTCTCGGAGGAAATCTTTTACATAGACTCCGTGCTTGAGTATAGGCGTCTGTTCAGTCCTCTAGTCGAATTCTGATGTCTTTATTTATGATCCTGTATTTCGTTTCCACTGCAGACACCTCTTCTGGTCCTGGATTCGGTAAGGACTCCAGCAATAGAACATTTTTCTGGTCATAAATGTGCACAAAATCATCTTTGGCCTTATCAGCTGGGTTACACAAATTGTAAAGCGAATACTGAACATAAATGTACACACTGAAATATTACTCTTTCAGTGGCTCGCTTCTGCGGAATGCTGCCAAGTGGCTAGTCAGCTATTCACAAAGCAACCACTCATATCCTCGGTGAACGATGACACGCCACAAGATATCTCAATTGTGTGAGATTATCCACACAAACACATTGTGCTTCGCTTAGACTATACGTAGCGTTCTGTGCTGTTCTTGGGTGACATCCTTTTTCTGAGGTCCTGACTCTGTACTGAAGCAGCCTACTGAAAAGGAATTGATTGTGTGGCTGATCCGAAATTGATCTCTTGTGTGTAATTTCCCATGCATTCGTGCTGCAGGTAACTGTGCCTTCGAGGATGGCATGTGTGGCTGGTACAGCTCCCCTGAAACGCCGCACATCTGGCAGTCTAACTCCGGAGCCACCGCCACAAGTGGGACAGGCCCGTCGTTTGACGTGACCTTCAAAAGTATGATTCTAACAGTGCTGTGTATATGTGCGTGTGTCTGTCTGTCTGTCTGTCCGTCCGTCCGTCCGTCCGTCCGTCCGTCCATCCGTCCTTCCGTTTGTCTGTCTGTCTTCGTGTGTGCATGTGTGCATGCATGAGTATGTGTGCATGTGAGTGAATGTGTTTGTGTGATTGTGTTTGTGGGTTAGAGTTGGTTGTGTGTTGTAGCTCCATGCATGTGTTAGTATGGTAGTTACAGTACTGTAGTCTTGCATGTGTTAGTATGGTAGCTACAGTACTGTAGTCTCCATGCATGTGTTAGTATGGTAGCTACAGTACTGTAGTCTTGCCTATTCCATTGTACTACACCATGTATACTGTTCAGCGCGGCGTGGTCTGGCAGTCATGTCCGCTGGTGCAATATTTTTTTTAAAGCTGGGATATGATACAAAGTTCTTCCATCACCACCACCACCACCACAATGAACCACGGCCACCACGACCACTGCCACCACCACCACGGCCGTCGCCGCCTCCACCACCACCACCAACAACAACAACTCAGTGTCCAGGACAATACACTAGCGTACCACCTCCCCCGCCAGTGGCCCGTGCAATGTACAACAATGTACAACATAGCTTTCTCTGATTTCTGTTCACATGATCTTCCCATCTCTCTCTCTCCCTCTCAGATACCAGTGGGCACTACATGTACTTTGAAACTAGCTTCATCCCATCGCAAGCGCAAGCAATACTGCAGAGTCCCGTCATGCCTGGTGATGACCCCAGCTTTTGTCAGATGACATTCCACTATCACATGTTTGGTTCTAACATTGGTGAGCTGAGCGCTCAAGTGCAGCAAGGCGATGGAGGTACGTAACACAAGTGCTGAATTCGTATGTCAGAAATCTGATCATAATGCAATGAGCTATACCCGTGATATCAATATTCTACTGTCAGTGGTTGCATTTATCACCACTTTGGTAAAAAAAAACCATTTAGGCTACCCTTTTGTCACGGGCCCCGTTATTTGCTTTACCGATGAGGATATGCTTGGCACTACTTTGCGATGTGAACACAGCATACATAGTCTGCTCTCTTGCAGACAACACTGCATGACTTATGGCATGTATGTAACTTGTGGCGGGTGCATGACCTTTGGCGAATGCCTGATTTATGGCGAGTGCATGATTTATGGCGAGTGTGTGACGTATGGCGAGTGCGTGACATATGGCGAGTGCATGACTTCTGACGAGTGTGTGACTTATGGCGATTGCATGACTTTTGGTGAGTGCGTGACTTATGGCAAGTGTGCATCTTACGGATACTGTACGCATGTTCACGAGTAGATGACCATCCAGATTGCCAAAGTGTGTGGCTTTTTGAGAGTATATGTTTCAAAGTGTGCAACGTATCTAGTGTTGTCGATTCTAATACATTTTGCTCACACTATTGTTAGTTGTTGCTTGTTTACTCGACCTTAAGTATTGCTATAGTAACTTTGTGCATGTGCAACATGTTCTGAATCCCTGTCAGACTGGGTAGTAGCATGGTGGTCCCTACGTGACCGAGGAGATCGGTGGTTCAAGCAGAGCATCGACATCAACAGCACGCTGCCGTACAGTGTACGGCTGGTGGCCACCCGTGGCAGCGGATTCCGCGGTGACATCTCGGTGGATGATGTCTGGTTTTCGCCTTGCACTGGCTTCGATGGTAAGTGGCGCAGATCACCGACGCACACATTGATCTTGACTTGAGCAATGGAAAACACAGCGAAGCCAAGAGGGTGGATGCATGGATATATAGCTTTAAACCTGTGTAAAGAGGAAATGACAGATTCGATGACATGCACTTAATCATAAGTATGCCTTAAAGGGGACAAATCATGGTGATCTAGCCGAACAAGGGGCTATCTGGTGTTTTTGAGCAGTGTGGACAATGTAACAGCAGATCTCTGCTGTTGGTTTTTCTTCCCATTACGACCGACCAGGTGGCGTTATTTGTCAAGGTCCAGCATGCCAGAATTATGATTTCTGTACAACACTGTCCTTTTTTCCTGTCAATGATGCAGGTCCTTGTATGTTTGAAGACAGTGCCTGCGGTTGGAACAGTACTGGAGATGGAATCGGGTGGCAGAGGACGACGGGAAGTGTAGATCACACTCGTTTAAGTAAGCCCTTCACGACATATAGCCAGCAATGTAGGCCTGAGCAGCGTTATTGGCTGTGTAACCAGTTTCCACATCACATGTCCACCATGTTTTGTGTTCGTACTTGTACGTACTGCTGTGAATTATTCACTTTCAGTTGTATCTTATTCAGGATATTTTGTATGTGTCCTATACACACTCATAACCGGACATACAACGCTTTGTCGTATATATAGCTGCGGTGCCCACGGTAGATTAAGAGAGAGAAGGAGATAGATAGATAGAGATAGATAGATAGATAGAGAGAGAGAGAGAGAGAGAGAGAGAGAGAGTTGCAGCCGTGGTGTATGGACAGTGCACAGTATGAAGCTAAACCAAAATATGCCCTCGTCTGTTTTCTTCGGCTTCAGATCGATATGGCCACTTCATGGTAGCAGATTTCAAGGACACTGACGGCACAATTGTAAACAACTATTCGTCATACTTGACAAGCGTGCAGCTACCAGAGGACAAGCGTCATTGCCAACTCCTGTTTGCCTACTCGATATCTGGCAATGTCAAGCTGCAGGTCTATGGCACTTTCCAGTCTGGAGAGAGATTGTTGGGAGAGCTCGTGTCAGCCGTAGATGACTGGGACCGGTTCCTCTACACCGGAATCAGCATCAACGAAACTCAAGCACCATTCTCGGTTGCGTTCCGCGCAGTGATCGATAAGGATGCTGAGTACTTGTCCAACTCTACTTCGAAGCCGAAGCCCACGGCTGGCAGGAGCGGTGTGTACTTTGCCGACAGCATGGGCAAGACTGATAAAGGAAACGGGAAATTCTCGGACACAAATGCCAAAATTGACGATGTCAACTTCCGCGATTGCCTCGAGTGTAAGCTCAATGTATATAATATATATTTCAAGTTCCTGTATAATGATGTGAGTTGGGCTACTCAGCCAGTTAGACTAACTGAGGACTGCATCCGAAAATGCATCTTGCCTTTGAGATACATTGCATCAATTCTGTTTCCAGCGTCTGTCTTGCCAACAAAGGCATCGGGATCACAATTAAGTTTTAGAAATTGTATTTCACATTACGACATGCTTGCATGATGACCCGCCATGAACATGAAATACCGATATAATACTTATTATTATTAGGATCTAAGTCCTATTTTGATATTGCTGTTGCTCTGTTTTGTTGTTTTTTTGGGTTTTTTGGTATTGATTTATTTGAATTCGGTATCTCAACAGTGCAATGTACAACTTATGAAGATCCGAATGACATAGATACATAAACATAAAAGTGGAGTAGGTGCTACAGCTGATCATTTTATCGCAGGTTGTGGGACTAAACTTTAACCAGGGGTGTTAAGAAGTCGTCAGTTCCGGGACAAACAGCTACTTGTGTGTTGATTGTATTACTTTGGTGAATACATACGAGTTAGAGTGTTTTCTTTTACCTGTGCATATCTTTGACTTGGCGCATCCGTGTACTCCTATGCCTTTGTGATGCCTTCCTGCCTCTGTGTGTGTGTGTGTGTGTGTGTGTGTGTGTGTGTATGTGTGTGTGTGTGTGTGTGTGTGTGTGTGTGTGTGTGTGTGTGTGTGTGCATGTGTGGGTGTACACGCCTGCATGTATGCTTCTCCAGTACCCGACAATAGTGTAAACTACTGCAGCCTGTACACGTACGAGCAGCTGCAGGAACTGTTCTCGGTCGGCACGCGTGTTATCCGTGGACGAGACTGGGAGTGGGCATACCAGGACGACTTCTCACCGGGCACGGTCATCTCGGAGGTTGGCTCAGATGAGCGTGGACCTGGCTGGCTGGCAGTGCAGTGGCAGAGTGGTCTGACCGGCAACTATCGCATGGGTCGTGGTGGAAAATGCGACTTGGAGCTGCTGGCACCTGTAGAAGCCTGCCAGGATCTTGCTGGCATCGACGGGCAAGTCGGATCATGCTCGCCCAACGCACAGTGCCACCCATCCACTGAGAGCGGTGCACCGTATAATTGTAAATGCAATGATGGTTATACGGGTGATGGTTATGACTGTCTGCCTCTGCCACCCATGGATCTACCAACCAACATAGGAACCTGTGGGTTTGATGACGGTTGGTGCGGCTGGCGTCCCGAACCGATGCGTCCAGGTGCCTGGTTCATGCATTCCGGTTCAACCGCCTCTAAGAAGACTGGTCCCAACCATGCCAGCTCCTTCAGCAATGTCTCCGGATCGTACATCTACTACGAGGCGTCGGGCTGGGAGGACCGCCATAAGGCTGCAGTTATCTCGCCATACCTGCCCGGGAACAATTCAGATTACTGTCAGGTGAGCATGGGACAGCGAGTACATACATATACATCAAGTCATTACTGCCCAGCAATTTCCGCATTTGTTGGTTTAGCCGACAGCAGGAGAGCATTATGTTGGAAAGGCATTGGGCCAGTTACCTCTAGTGTTTGCATATGCTGGGAACTGGCTGGGATATTCTCCTGGCTTAATAACTGGCTAATCGTCAAGCTTCTCTTACAACAGCATGCCAGCAAGTGGAAGAGCTCACTTTCAGCTACCGTGTGGAAACTGGTGACATGTCTAGTTTGTCATTCAGCAGAAATTATGCACATGGATGTTGATTACAAGATTACTAGTACTGGTTGCTTGATAAACTCATTTTACTATGGTGTTGGTTTGACATGAATTGAACCTCCATCATCCAACAGAGCCACGCTGGAATCGTTGTGTAGGGTGTTGAGCAATGAAAGTCTGATCCCAAACTACTCATACACATTGCCCAAGTACATGTTGGCAATGCAGGTCTGATCCCAATCTACTCATACGCATTGCCCAAGTACATGTTGGCAGTGCAGGTCTGATCCCAATCTACTCATACACATTGCCCAAGTACATGTTGGCAATGCAGGTCTGATCCCAATCTACTCATACACATTGCCCAAGTACATGTTGGCAATGCAGGTCTGATCCCAATCTACTCATACACATTGCCCAAGTACATGTTGGCAATGCCCCGATGCGCTTGTTTACTTGCCAGTCAAGGGTCTGCATTGTGTTGTTTCGATTGGTTGGCATGACAATGCAGGTCGAGTTCTTTTACCACATGAGCGGACAGGACATTGGCGACCTGCAGCTGCAACTTATCACGGGCCAGGGAACTGAAGAGAAGACCACCACTATATGGTCAAGAGCGTACTCCTTTGGCGATCGGTGGCATTCACATGCCGTGATGCTCGACCAGAAGGAGACCTTCCGCATCCAGTTCCTGGTCCGACGTGGCAGATCCTATCGATCGGACATTGGCATCGATGACGTCAGGTTCTTGGACTGCGCTCCGGTCACTGCAGGTCTGTATGCGTATGATGCGCTTTGTTCTTGCGTGCCTTGGTCTCTATTCCATGTTGCTCTACGGTGCATGCGATGATAGCACAATGGCACCCGCATGTGGGAGAGCGGCTTCAATGCTCCAGGCTCTTCACAATCAAAATCCTCAAAAGCTCTTCCGCTAGTTTTCACTGCCGCTTCCTCCAAAACATGCAATCTTTCAATTCTGTTCTTTTCAGGTAACTGTGATTTTGAAGAAGGTCTGTGTGGTTGGAACAACTCTACGTACAAGGGCCCTGAGGACAATCTCTGGACAGCGAGAAGTGGCATCATGGCATCTCGGTCTGGAGATCCCAAACCACACACGGATCATACCATAGGCAGTAAGAGAGAAGAACTTATAGTCTACTGTCTCTGACATCTCTGACATTATCAATGAAAGAGACGATCACTGTATGCAAACCGTTCTCTACTGTACAACCGGGAGTTTTCGGTGGTGTAATAATTTCGGTATTTCCCAAAACCAATGGTTCGGTAACGTGAAAATTTCGGTAAACCAGTTTCCAGATCCAAGCATACATTATGCTCACACTGTGTGTCATGCCACTCTTGAATTTTAGGTCGCACTGTGTGTCATGCCACTCTTGAATTTTAGGTCGCATTTTATTTTAGGTAAAATGTTTCTGTACCGAAGTTACCGAAAATATATCTCCACCGAAAATGTCCGGTTTTACAGTATATTATGGATGTAATTGGCTGGTGTGTGTTCACGTGCCAGTGTGTGTGTGTCTGTGTGTGCCTGTGTGTATTCATTGATGGCGTGTGTCTGTGTGCCTGTGTGTCTGTGTGTGTGTGCATGCTGATGGGACTGTGAGAAAAGCATGAGGTGACTGGATAATACTATCATGTCGTATAATCTTTTTTCAAATCTACTTGTCCGCTAAGTTAACTCCAGTGCAGCTACTTGTAATAATCCTCTAAACAAATACTAATGGCAGTTCCCAGCAGGACACCAGAGTTCTACTTTTGACATTCTCGCATAGAGAGTTGATCTGTGTTTCCACTATCAATACAAGTATGATACATCTTCTGCACTCTCCCTACATACGTGTTTGCTGTGCTCCAATGCAGGCTTACAGGGCGGCTTCATCCGTGCCAAGGCACCAACGGGCCTCGGGGAGAAAGCCAAGCGCACCACTCTGAAAAGCCCAGACCTGGTCATGACGGAGCGGCACTGCCGCATCGACTTCTACTACTACTTCAGCCCCTCCACTGGGCCGCAGAACGCCGAGCTGATGGTGTCGGTGGACCAGATCTTCCCTGATAGAGTGAACGTAGTCGAGTACACGGTACGAAACATGGCCAGGGCCACGGGTGCCTGGCGGCATGCCGATGTACAGATGGAGATGATACCCCTGGACAGCACGTTTTCAGTCACGTTTGACGTGAGGTTTGCGAGCAACGAGACGGACACCGTTGTGGCGGTGGACGACTTCAGCTTCCGCGGCTGCAGCAACGGTAACACGACTGTGTGTAATTGATATACTTTTTACAATAATTGAACTGTTGTTGCCAATGATGGTTGCGAGAGCATGAAACTCTGAGTAGCTACTAACTAACCTTGATTACCCTTGCTGTTCTGTGTAGAAATAACTATGCATGTGTATGTATACATTGCTGGTGAATGATATGATTAAATTTTCTTTCTAAGCCCACTTACCCTTGAATCCAGCCATCAGTGCCTTCGAGTATCTACAATTATTGTAGATGCTATTCGTTAGCTGCACTTGAATAGATTTTCCAGTCCTATCTTTGCTGTATATCTGAGTGATGATGATGTATATCTGAGTGGTGGTGCTGTATATCTGAGTGATGATCGAATCCGTGTGTTGTTTCTTCTCCGTTCCCTGCAGAAAAGTTCGACATTAACTACACTGCGCAGCCACTGGAAGAATTGAAATGTCTCTTTTCCAAAGGCTCGCGCGTGGTAAGGATTGCTGGTCAAGTCGAAGCATAGCGTCATGTGTGAAGAGAGTGGGCCGCCGCTGCTATGCTGATCTGTATTGCCTTTGTACCTATGTGTGTTTCCCGTCAGGTGCGTGGTGATGACTGGCGGTGGGGTGTGCAGGATGGCTACGCGCCGGGAACTATAGTCGAAGGTCTGCACAATGACACGAAACACACATGGGTGTCCGTGCGCTGGGACAACGCATACGAAAATCTCTACCGGGTTGGAAGCAAAGGTTCGCATGACCTTGCCATAATAGGTGAGTTTGAGTTTTGAGATTTCTGACTCTCTCAAGATGACTGCCTGGTTAAAAAGATATTGCTTGACTCAGCCGAGTGTTGTATTTGTGCTGCTTTTCTGTCCGCCATGGCATGGTATGCTTTGCCTGTGTGTGTGTGTGTGTGTGTGTGTGTGTGTGTGTGTGTGTGTGTGTGTGTGTGTGTGTATACACGCGCGTGCGTGGGCAAATGTGCATACGTGTGTGTGTGTGTGTTTATCAGTATCACACAAGTAATGTGACTGAGTTGGTGTAAGATGCGCATGCATGTGCAGAGGTTGCTCAAACCTGTTTGCTGTTTTTTGTGTGCGTATACAGAAATGGATCGATGCAAGCAATGTGATCCGTGTCCGTCAACTAGTGTGTGCACTTCAAACCGCTACAATTACAAGTGTACATGTCCAAGTGGTTACTATGGAGATGGCGCGGATTGCTTCGGTGAGTTGTCTGAGTTGTTGGCTGACGCGTCGATCCGGAAATGTGTTCAGTAACATTCTGGGATTTCAGGTAGCTAGATACCAAGTTACAAACTGGTCTTCTGAGCATCCTTCTGCGCAGGTCATGAGTGGAAAAATATTCAGACCAACAATGTATTACTGCGCTACCTTTTAGAAATACATAACTTTCTGAACTACAGTGTAATTATGGCAATGGTTCTAGAATGCGCGTGAGCATGTGAGAATGCCCCACCGTGTATAATCTGTTCATTACCTGCAGGCCGAGCATGCTCACGGAGTGCTCAATACCTGGAAATTGAGCCTGCTCACACAGTGCTTAATACCTACAAGTCGAGGTTGATCACTTCTCAGGCTCCCATCTTTCTACTGTGGCACTGCCCATGCATGCATACAATATCCTCATGCATATAATATGCTCATGCATACAATATGCTCATGCATACAATATGCTCATGCCTACAATATGCTCATGCATACAATACGTGATTTACGTATGGCTATGTAATTTTTCCAGTGGAGGGAGAAAAGGCAGGCTGTTCATTCGACACTGATCTCTGCATGTGGAAGAGCGGGAACGGAGCCACCCTGGACTGGAAGTTCCACAAGGAACTCAAAGACGCTGACAAGAAAGACATGGCAAGACGCCGTCGACACGTATCCGAGCAGCTAAGCCTACTACCCGAAGTGGGGGCCTGTAAGTGGAGACGTCATCATTGTTTGCAAGACGTGACATACAACGGCATTCACAGAGTGTACACACTTACAGACCTGTATGTTTGACATAGTACTCAAGTACTAGTAGCGTGCTCCACTGTCCAAAGAGTGCTCAATACCCATATAGGGCAGAGCCTTGTACACGAGAGAGAGAGAGAGAGAGAGAGAGAGAGAGAGAGAGAGATTCTCTCTCTTGTGTTTAACATAGCATATGATTAGACTGCGTTCCTCCTTTCACACTCTCAAGTATCCCAATGAGGCTGACATGTCTTTATTGTGAGGCTAGAATTATCCCAAGAATCCCAATGAGGCTGACATGTCTCTATTGTGAGGCTAGAATTATCCCAAGAATCCCAATGAGGCTGATATGTCTCTATTGTGAGGCTAGAATTATCCCAAGAATCCCAATGAGGCTGATATGTCTCTATTGTGAGGCTAGAATTATCCCAAGAATCCCAATGAGGCTGACATGTCTCTATTGTGAGGCTAGAATTATCCCAAGAATCCCAATGAGGCTGACATGTCTCTATTGTGAGGCTAGAATTATCCCAAGAATCCCAATGAGGCTGATATGTCTCTATTGTGAGGCTAGAATTATCCACACTGAGCCATCCTAAAGTGTGCTGTGCCATTCCCCGTTTCAATTTCCTGAACGTTCATGTCAATGTGAGGCGTCCCCAGAACTGTACAGTGTGCATGTGTTATGGCGGGAAATCCCCGCCCCGTCCCCCCCCCCCCCCTCAGGCCAGGAATTCATTCTGGGAATTGTCAGAGCAGCACCCAGTAATCTATCATGTGTGACTACTACACCATCACTGCTATACAGCTATTACACAGTGTTGTCCATTGTACTGTTTGTACATGTGTCACCGTATGCAGCTGGTACTGGAGGCTATGTGTACAGTGAAGCATCACACAAAGTGAATCCTGCTGACAACCTGGCTATCCTGGAGAGCGTTACCCTCAACCCTGATGCTGGACTGTGTGAGGTGAGGCGCCGACACAGCTGTGTTGTGTTGGGGTAGTGTAGTGTAGTGAACCAGCAGTACACACTGGCGTGTAGTTACTGCACGCAGCATGCACGTTGCAGCTAACAGAGTGGGTGCGCATGTACACACACATACACACACACACACATACACACACACACACACACATACACACGCACACCTTGGACCTTGGACGCGCTGCCATATTCTGGCTATGCGGACCCCACGGGGGGGGGGGGGGGTTTGTGCACGCGCACATGTTGTCCAGGCGTCAGGGGCCCAGCCTCCCTGCCCATCCGACCCGCCACACACAACAACGAAACTGAACTGAGAGTTCTACATAATTTCTTGACAAGACGGAGACGGACAGACCAGAAGACCGGACACGACGAGGTAAACTGAAAACTGAAGAAAAAGACTAACATTATGGCAGCATATAAGCATGCGCACAAACAAAACATAACGCATGACAATGACGTAACCGTTACTTGGATCATGTACAAACTATACATGCAACCAAACCCAGTCAAATACGAGTCAAAGCAAAACGCAAAACAAACCAAAATAAACGAAAGGACCACAACAAAATGAGCCTTGAAAAGTCTTTCTACCGATACACAACAGGGGGGTTGAGCAGGTTCGGAACAGTAGGGGCGATAACGGGATAGGTCATGTGATCTACTGAATCGCCGACCGCAATTGCAAACGAGGCAGGAGGAGCTACGGTGTGTGTTGGTAGCCCTGGGCGAGCCACGGCTGCACTTGTGACGCTTCATGCCTTGGCGCGATAGCGCACTGTGGTTGCAGCGGGCGCAGTGGAAGCTGCAGCGTTCGCAGGACACGCACACGCGCACACACACATACACACACACAGATACACACTTTGCACAAAGCTATTTCCGTTTGATGGTATGGATGCCCACAAGCTATACATAGCAATCAAATCATTGTGGCCGTGCATGTATTGGTGTATTTGTATACAGGTAATTGCTAGAAATTACACACCAGCTAACTGCTGCATGTATGTTCCAATTCAACTATTGTTGCTTGTTGGCAGGTGCAATACTCATTGCTGATGTTCGGCTCTGAAAAGGCAGTCTTTGAGCTGCGCGCAGTGAATGCTGCCGGGGAAACGATCTCCATTCGGTATCTCACGGAGCCACTGGGCAGCAATTGGGTGTCAATGATGGACGAATTGCCACACGACGGCCTGTTCACGCTGGAGTTCCGCGCAATGCCCGGCGTCAACGGATCGGGAGTGTTTGCTATCGACGACATCCAGATGGGAGCCTGTCAGCCACAGTCCTGTCGCTCCACTGCGCTGCCAGCGAGTGGTAGGTCTTTTCTTTTAAAAACAACTCCTTTTTGAAGTGTGAAAAGGCGATGTGGAGGCAATAGTTATAACAAAGCAATAAATAGACCAATGTGCGGGCTGATATCATACAGGAAGCCTCTTGAAGTGTATGAAAAGGCGATGTGGAGGTAATGATGATAACAAAGCACTGAATAGCAAACTGTGCACGCTCATCACACAGGAAGCAGAGTTCGGGTGCAGATCGCCCAAGTGTATATCACCTAGCCGATTATTTTCCCATCTCTCATTTAGGCATGAGATTCCGTTGATAGTTGTGACAAGAGAACTTTCTCGAGCACAATCCTGCTTGCGATGTTTGCAGTTTGGCTCTTTCTTGCATTCCTTCTAAATTCTTTGTTGGAGCTTAGCTCAGTGGTGCCGGTTGGGTTTCTAGCTTTGCCGTTGTTGATCAAGCCCTATCAGCACTCCGCTTCAGTAAACCAAATTACAATTGATGGTGTTGCAACATTCACTTTGTGTGCCTATGCAGGTTTGTTTGACATCCGGCTCACCGGCGGCAGTATTGACAGTGAAGGTCGCCTCGAGGTGCGCGACGGCCTGAAGAGCGCCTGGGGTGGCGTGTGCGACCATCGCTTTGACAACGCTGCGGGTGACGTGGTGTGCAATCAACTGGGCTATGCCGGTGCGTTCCGCATCACGAAGGGTGCAGAAACTCAGCTGAACTTCTTCGGCGGCTCCGAGACCGCGTCCTACCCGATCTTCTGGCTCAACCATGTCCGCTGTAAGGTGGACAGGGTGAAGGCAATTGGACTCGACGCTAAGCTGTCGGATTGTGACGCATGTCAGTGGGGCTCTTCAGTGGACACATGTGGACGCGGCGAATACGTGGGATTGCTCTGTAATGGTAGGTTTTAACTCTCACTTACACTCTCACATTAGTGACATTACCGGAATCTTCACACACAGGGTCTAGATGATCCATCGCAGTGGTGTCAGCAGATTACTAAGGCTAGTATGGTCAGCCATTGGATGTTCCTTTGACCAATTTGTCTGAGTTCTAGCTTCACGAATGTTTGCATTTAAGAGCAAAACGGATACTACGGCATGCCATTCACCCATGAGGTGACTAGAGCAAGGTGTGTTACTATTATTGCGAGTACTGTATTGAGCAAAGCATGTACGATGCCCTGCATCATGCTCACTGTACATGCTTCCATCAACGTCCTATTTGTTGTGCAGTTGATGGTCAGTGGGGCAATTGGTCAGACTGGAGTGAATGTGTGGCAAGCTGCGAGAGCAAGTCATTGGAAGGTAGCAGCACTCGCCAGCGCTACTGCAACATGCCGCTACGCAAGAACGATGGTAGCCGCTGTGCCGGCGCGGACACGGAAACAAAAACCTGCACGGCCAAGGCCTGCACAAATGTACCTGGTAAGCCTTCTTTCGCATTAGCCACGTTGGAATAGAGTAGATGACTCCCATTCACATGATGGATACAATGCAGAGCCAATGAAGTACATACACATGTACCTGGTAAGCCGCATTATTAGCTACACTGGCATAGAGTACATCAGTAGATACCGGTATGTCTCATTTCACAACTCATTGGATCTGGTCTTGCATACAGATAGGCACATTTGCCCGCCCTATGGATAGACCAAATAGTTGTGAAAGTAAGCATAGTCCATGAAGTAGTTGCCCACTGCAGATCGACCTAGGATTTCAGATGGGATGGGTGTCGAAATTGGCTACGCTGTGTCACCGCTTTACGTACCTGACAAAGTATGCATTTGTATTGCAATTCAAGACTTCAAGGGGCAATGGTAGACCGAGCTGTGAAAATTCATCTGGCTGCCCACAGCATGAATGGAGCCTTGCTAAACAATACGTCCACTTCCAAAGCAAACAGACGAAGGTGTGTCTGCATAGAAACATGCTATGCATGCAGCCAACCTCCAATCAGTCTAACGCTATTCTATGACAAATTTTATGTGCGACGCCGTTTCTAAGAAATGGTGTGTTACCGTTTCTAACAGTACTCCATTGTGATGTGTGTCTCTGTCGCAGGTACTACCAGGGCTACTTCAAAATCAAGTTAGTTCAATTTGTTCATTCTGTCTCTACATTGCATGCTTACTGCCAACAGCAAAGCAATGCTAGCTAGGCATCATTACAATATCCACTATTTGAAAATAGACATATTATTTGACATCCTTTCATGGATGTGCTGACCATGATTGAGAAACAGAAGGTATACCAGCTTCAAGTCCTGCTTAGCAGCGGATGGGTTTTCCAACTGCTGCGACCTACAGTTGATTGGGAACTCGTGGCCTGGCACAAGGCTATCTTGGATGCAGGGAATGGGATTTTTCCGCTCTTTGAACACTTTGGCCGGTGGGTCTGACCTGCAGTGCTCACCTCCCACCACTTTAGGAGCCGCATCTGTCTGTCGTCAGTCGGTAGAGCATGAGACTCTTAATCTCAGGGTCGTGGGTTCGAGCCCCACGTTGGGCGCCAATTGTCGTCGGTTTTTTTTATTCCTCGACGATAGCCCTTCCGATTACTCTCGATATCTCTTATATCACACGTACGCCACACTCATAGAACAGACTATTTTAGTCTTACTCCAAGGAGAGTCTCAAGAAGAAGGCCACAAACAACAAGAGTGCGTACAATAATATGCAGGCATGCGCAGCCTGCGCAGTCCACACACCGACCACGCGTACCCAGCACACACGTGCCAAAAGGGGCACATGCCCTCCAAACGGGCAGGGACAACATGTCCCTTGATCCATAAGGCTGTGGATTCCTACGAATTCGGAAAAGTCAGTCTAACTGAGTCACATGCAAGCAGTAAAATCTTTTTTTACAAAAGTGCTGTGCCCTCACCTCACATCATTCTTTCTTCTCATCAATTTCCAGCTTAGCAAATGCTGGTGAAAGAAGCGTCATACGTACTTTGTGATTAGACATGCATTTGTGTATTTGTGCATGTGTGTGTCTGCATGTGTATGTATGTGTGTGTGTCTGCATGTGTGTGTGTGTGTCTGCATGTGTGTGTGTGCTGCTGTTGTTGTCTACGCAGGCTCTAAAGTACTCTTGATCATCCTAGGCGTGATAGCCGTGGCTGCCGTGGTTCTCTTGGTCGTCATCATTGTCCTCATCAAGCGCAAGTGAGTACAGCGGACACAGTGTCACTGACACGTGTATCTTGAGATGTATGTATGTGTCCCTTCTCTTCCCTTGCCTTGCCTTGCCTTCTCTTGCCTTGCCTTGCCTTCACGTCCTACCTGTGTGATCCAGCGAACAGTGATTTTGGGCTATCATTCGTTAGTACATCATCTCGTGTCTTCCTACTGTTTCGTATACAGTGCATGGCAACGCACTGTTGCTGCCTTATTCTATCTGTTGTTAGTGTGAAGTAATACAAGTTATGAAGACTGCTCCGCTGTGTGTGACATTCATTCCACTTTCATTTGCTGTCACTAGCTCTAGCTCTATTTCCACTGGTGCCATTGTCTTGCCCTGTGTCTTTGCTGCTGCAGGAGAGCTGCTGCTAAGAAACCCCCATCTCCTGTGACTGGTGGCAGGGCTGGCATTGGCCGTGTTCCGGATGTGATATCGTTCCAGGGCCCGTTCTCTGCGGAGAATCCAGTCTATGAAGAGGAGGTATGTGTGAGGTCACAGTGTGAGGGAAGATGCCAAGGATCATAATATACCCTAGTAAAAACACAGTGTGAGGGAAGATGCCAAGGACCATACACCCTAGTAAAAACACAGTGTGAGGGAAGATGCCAAGGACCATAATATACCCTAGTAAAAACACAGTGTGAGGGAAGATGCCAAGGACCATATACCCTAGTAAAAACACAGTGTGAGGGAAGATGCCAAGGACCATATACCCTAGTAAAAACACAGTGTGAGGGAAGATGCCAAGGACCATATACCCTAGTAAAAACACAGTGTGAGGGAAGATGACAAGGACCATATACCCTAGTAAAAACACAGTGTGAGGGAAGATGCCCAGGACCATATACCCTAGTAAAAACACAGTGTGAGGGAAGATGCCAAGGACCATAATATACCCTAGTAAAAACACAGTGTGAGGGAAGATGCCAAGGACCATAATGTACCCTAGTAAAAACACAGTGTGAGGGAAGATGCCAAGGACCATATACCCTAGTAAAAACACAGTGTGAGGGAAGATGCCAAGGACCATATACCCTAGTAAAAACACAGTGTGAGGGAAGATGCCAAGGACCATAATATACCCTAGTAAAAACACAGTGTGAGGGAAGATGCCAAGGACCATAATATACCCTAGTAAAAACACAGTGTGAGGGAAGATGCCAAGGACCATAATATACCCTAGTAAAAACACAGTGTGAGGGAAGATGCCCAGGACCATAATATACCCTAGTAAAAACACAGTGTGAGGGAAGATGCCAAGGATAATATACCCTAGTAAAAACACAGTGTGAGGGAAGATGCCAAGGACCATAATATACCCTAGTAAAAACACAGTGTGAGGGAAGATGCCAAGGACCATAATATACCCTAGTAAAAACACAGTGTGAGGGAAGATGCCAAGGACCATATACCCTAGTAAAAACACAGTGTGAGGGAAGATGCCAAGGACCATATACCCTAGTAAAAACACAGTGTGAGGGAAGATGCCAAGGACCATAATACACCCTAGTAAAAACACAGTGTGAGGGAAGATGCCAAGGACCATAATATACCCTAGTAAAAACACAGTGTGAGGGAAGATGCCAAGGACCATATACCCTAGTAAAAACACAGTGTGAGGGAAGATGCCAAGGACCATAATATACCCTAGTAAAAACACAGTGTGAGGGAAGATGCCAAGGACCATATACCCTAGTAAAAACACAGTGTGAGGGAAGATGCCCAGGACCATATACCCTAGTAAAAACACAGTGTGAGGGAAGATGCCAAGGACCATAATATACCCTAGTAAAAACACAGTGTGAGGGAAGATGCCAAGGACCATAATATACCCTAGTAAAAACACAGTGTGAGGGAAGATGCCAAGGACCATAATATACCCTAGTAAAAACACAGTGTGAGGGAAGATGCCCAGGACCATAATATACCCTAGTAAAAACACAGTGTGAGGGAAGATACCAAGGATAATATACCCTAGTAAAAACACAGTGTGAGGGAAGATGCCAAGGACCATAATATACCCTAGTAAAAACACAGTGTGAGGGAAGATGCCAAGGACCATAATATACCCTAGTAAAAACACAGTGTGAGGGAAGATGCCAAGGACCATATACCCTAGTAAAAACACAGTGTGAGGGAAGATGCCAAGGACCATATACCCTAGTAAAAACACAGTGTGAGGGAAGATGCCAAGGACCATAATATACCCTAGTAAAAACACAGTGTGAGGGAAGATGCCAAGGACCATAATATACCCTAGTAAAAACACAGTGTGAGGGAAGATGCCAAGGACCATATACCCTAGTAAAAACACAGTGTGAGGGAAGATGCCAAGGACCATAATACCCTAGTAAAAACACAGTGTGAGGGAAGATGCCAAGGACCATATACCCTAGTAAAAACACAGTGTGGGGGAAGATGCCAAGGACCATATACCCTAGTAAAAACACAGTGTGAGGGAAGATGCCAAGGACCATATACCCTAGTAAAAACACAGTGTGAGGGAAGATGCCCAGGACCATATACCCTAGTAAAAACACAGTGTGAGGGAAGATGCCCAGGACCATATACCCTAGTAAAAACACAGTGTGAGGGAAGATGCCCAGGACCATATCAGTGGCGTGCACCGAGTCTTGAAAGGGGGGTTTCTAGAGTTGGTAATTTTTTTCTGGAGACCCATTGTATAAGCATGTATTTGTGCACATGCGCATGCGCATCCCCCGAACATCCCGTCGGAGATAACGGCGAGGGCTAGGGAGAAGACTAGGGGGGGGGGGAGACTCAAGACCAGGGGTGCAGGGCACCAATGAACACTGGTGCTGATGAGATGCGGGGCTCGTCCGACTGCTATCATCAGATCATGCCGGCACAAACGCGTCTGAGAGGGCACCAGGTACAGGGGTAGAAAGGACAGAAATAAGAGTAATGAGGAATGGAGGGAGGGTACGATGTTACTTGGAAATGTTGGTAGATCTACATTGTACATGTACATGTATAACCGGTAGCAGGAAAAAACGGGTTACCTTTTACATACCAGCACTTCAAAAAAAGTATTTGCAAAGACGGGGCAAATTTAAAATGTACTCATATACACTGTACATGTTTGTCATATTGAACCCCTAAAAGTTGTATAGGCCTAGCCGCCCAGGCTACATGAATTGTATGCACTACAGTCTATAAGTATAACACATCAAAACACTGCTTATTTCGACGTTTCTTTCTTTCTGTTCTTATGACGAAGTTTTCGGCATGTATTGGCAATGTTCCACATGAGTTCAATAAAGAGTTATGGACCTTGCTTCGATGGAAGCTCGCGGGAGAAAAGCGAAGCCCCGAGCCCTTGAGTCGCGGCCGGAGCTGCGCTTCGTTCTGAAGCAGCGCAAGTGGATCATGGACGCACATTTTTACGTCTTCCAGTCGACAACGTTTTTGACGAACATCTCTGCTGCGCACATGAGCGAGAACGAAAGGCTGTCATCTTGATTTGAGTCAACAGTTTGGAAGGAGATATCGTCAATCATATCCTTGAACTGACTTGCATCGCGCGTGCTTGACTCGAATTTCGAGACAAAACGGATTTCTTGAACGTCACCGCCAATCCAGGAGCGAACCAGAGCTAGAGATCGATCTCTCTGTGGCTACTCTCCACTGAAGAAAGAGAATATTGTATTTCGAACTGCATGCAAAGCAACTCTCTCTCACTTCGAAATAAGGACATACATGTAGTCACTGTACTGCAAACTGCCCGTCGATAGACGCGTATGCAGGATAACCAATCCAGTACGAGCGTAGGCACGCTTTTCCTTTGGCAAGATTGCCCGAAAAAAGGTGGTTTCCAGACACCAAAAAACTCATACGGTGCACGCGCCTGCATATACCCTAGTAAAAACACAGTGTGAGGGAAGATGCCAAGGACCATAATACCCTAGTAAAAACACAGTGTGAGGGAAGATGCCAAGGACCATATACCCTAGTAAAAACACAGTGTGAGGGAAGATGCCAAGGACCATATACCCTAGTAAAAACACAGTGTGAGGGAAGATGCCAAGGACCATATACCCTAGTAAAAACACAGTGTGAGGGAAGATGCCCAGGACCATATACCCTAGTAAAAACACAGTGTGAGGGAAGATGCCCAGGACCATATACCCTAGTAAAAACACAGTGTGAGGGAAGATGCCCAGGACCATATACCCTAGTAAAAACACAGTGTGAGGGAAGATGCCAAGGACCATATACCCTAGTAAAAACACAGTGTGAGGGAAGATGCCAAGGACCATAATATACCCTAGTAAAAACACAGTGTGAGGGAAGATGCCCAGGACCATATACCCTAGTAAAAACACAGTGTGAGGGAAGATGCCAAGGACCATATACCCTAGTAAAAACACAGTGTGAGGGAAGATGCCAAGGACCATATACCCTAGTAAAAACACAGTGTGAGGGAAGATGCCAAGGACCATAATATACCCTAGTAAAAACACAGTGTGAGGGAGGATGCCAAGGACCATATACCCTAGTAAAAACACAGTGTGAGGGAAGATGCCAAGGACCATATACCCTAGTAAAAACACAGTGTGAGGGAAGATGCCAAGGACCATATACCCTAGTAAAAACACAGTGTGAGGGAAGATGCCCAGGACCATATACCCTAGTAAAAACACAGTGTGAGGGAAGATGCCCAGGACCATATACCCTAGTAAAAACACAGTGTGAGGGAAGATGCCCAGGACCATATACCCTAGTAAAAACACAGTGTGAGGGAAGATGCCCAGGGCCATAATATACCCTAGTAAAAACACAGTGTGAGGGAAGATGCCAAGGACCATAATATACCCTAGTAAAAACACAGTGTGAGGGAAGATGCCAAGGACCATAATATACCCTAGTAAAAACACAGTGTGAGGGAAGATGCCAAGGACCATATACCCTAGTAAAAACACAGTGTGAGGGAAGATGCCAAGGACCATATACCCTAGTAAAAACACAGTGTGAGGGAAGATGCCAAGGACCATATACCCTAGTAAAAACACAGTGTGAGGGAAGATGACAAGGACCATATACCCTAGTAAAAACACAGTGTGAGGGAAGATGCCCAGGACCATATACCCTAGTAAAAACACAGTGTGAGGGAAGATGCCCAGGACCATATACCCTAGTAAAAACACAGTGTGAGGGAAGATGCCCAGGACCATATACCCTAGTAAAAACACAGTGTGAGGGAAGATGCCAAGGACCATAATATACCCTAGTAAAAACACAGTGTGAGGGAAGATGCCAAGGACCATATACCCTAGTAAAAACACAGTGTGAGGGAAGATGCCCAGGACCATATACCCTAGTAAAAACACAGTGTGAGGGAAGATGCCCAGGACCATACACCCTAGTAAAAACACAGTGTGAGGGAAGATGCCAAGGACCATAATATACCCTAGTAAAAACACAGTGTGAGGGAAGATGCCCAGGACCATATACCCTAGTAAAAACACAGTGTGAGGGAAGATGCCAAGGACCATATACCCTAGTAAAAACACAGTGTGAGGGAAGATGCCAAGGACCATATACCCTAGTAAAAACACAGTGTGAGGGAAGATGCCCAGGACCATATACCCTAGTAAAAACACAGTTTGCGGGAAGATGCCCAGGACCATATACCCTAGTAAAAACACAGTGTGAGGGAAGATGCCCAGGACCATATACCCTAGTAAAAACACAGTGTGAGGGAAGATGCCAAGGACCATATACCCTAGTAAAAACACAGTGTGAGGGAAGATGCCAAGGACCATATACCCTAGTAAAAACACAGTGTGAGGGAAGATGCCCAGGACCATATACCCTAGTAAAAACACAGTGTGAGGGAAGATGCCCAGGACCATATACCCTAGTAAAAACACAGTGTGAGGGAAGATGCCAAGGACCATAATATACCCTAGTAAAAACACAGTGTGAGGGAAGATGCCCAGGACCATATACCCTAGTAAAAACACAGTGTGAGGGAAGATGCCAAGGACCATATACCCTAGTAAAAACACAGTGTGAGGGAAGATGCCAAGGACCATATACCCTAGTAAAAACACAGTGTGAGGGAAGATGCCCAGGACCATATACCCTAGTAAAAACACAGTGTGAGGGAAGATGCCCAGGACCATATACCCTAGTAAAAACACAGTGTGAGGGAAGATGCCCAGGACCATATACCCTAGTAAAAACACAGTGTGAGGGAAGATGCCAAGGACCATATACCCTAGTAAAAACACAGTGTGAGGGAAGATGCCAAGGACCATATACCCTAGTAAAACACAGTGTGAGGGAAGATGCCAAGGACCATATACCCTAGTAAAAACACAGTGTGAGGGAAGATGCCCAGGACCATATACCCGAGTAAAAACACAGTGTGAGGGAAGATGCCAAGGACCATATACCCTAGTAAAAACACAGTGTGAGGGAAGATGCCCAGGACCATATACCCTAGTAAAAACACAGTGTGAGGGAAGATGCCAAGGACCATAATATACCCTAGTAAAAACACAGTGTGAGGGAAGATGCCAAGGACCATATACCCTAGTAAAAACACAGTGTGAGGGAAGATGCCAAGGACCATATACCCTAGTAAAAACACAGTGTGAGGGAAGATGCCAAGGACCATATACCCTAGTAAAAACACAGTGTGAGGGAAGATGCCAAGGACCATAATATACCCTAGTAAAAACACAGTGTGAGGGAAGATGCCAAGGACCATATACCCTAGTAAAAACACAGTGTGAGGGAAGATGCCAAGGACCATATACCCTAGTAAAAACACAGTGTGAGGGAAGATGCCAAGGACCATATACCCTAGTAAAAACACAGTGTGAGGGAAGATGCCCAGGACCATATACCCTAGTAGTAAAAACACAGTGTGAGGGAAGATGCCCAGGACCATATACCCTAGTAAAAACACAGTGTGAGGGAAGATGCCAAGGACCATAATATACCCTAGTAAAAACACAGTGTGAGGGAAGATGCCAAGGACCATATACCCTAGTAAAAACACAGTGTGAGGGAAGATGCCAAGGACCATATACCCTAGTAAAAACACAGTGTGAGGGAAGATGCCAAGGACCATATACCCTAGTAAAAACACAGTGTGAGGGAAGATGCCAAGGACCATATACCCTAGTAAAAACACAGTGTGAGGGAAGATGCCAAGGACCATAATATACCCTAGTAAAAACACAGTGTGAGGGAAGATGCCAAGGACCATATACCCTAGTAAAAACACAGTGTGAGGGAAGATGCCAAGGACCATATACCCTAGTAAAAACACAGTGTGAGGGAAGATGCCAAGGACCATATACCCTAGTAAAAACACAGTGTGAGGGAAGATGCCAAGGACCATATACCCTAGTAAAAACACAGTGTGAGGGAAGATGCCAAGGACCATATACCCTAGTAGTAAAAACACAGTGTGAGGGAAGATGCCAAGGACCATATACCCTAGTAAAAACACAGTGTGAGGGAAGATGCCCAGGACCATATACCCTAGTAAAAACACAGTGTGAGGGAAGATGCCAAGGACCATATACCCTAGTAGTAAAAACACGCTTCCAACCATGTACCTTACAGTACTGTCAGGTGCAGAAGAACGGAGCACCGAAGAACGACCAGGCTAGAATTTCACCAACCCCACACACCGATATATACGTGGTGACTCCACTGCACATAGACCACTGTACATAAAGATAAGAACGGCCTTGGCTACAAGGCTGACCCCCCCCCCCCCCCCCCCCCCGGCGTTCTTTGGCACCTGGCAGTGCTCTATTTGGTGGTGGGGAAAGAGCAGCAGTAAATATCCACACCATTGCGGAGTTTACCATGTGGGCCTCCTGTGGCCAGCCAACCGAAACCTTCTTACAAGATGGCTGTGGGTAGGGGTGCTGGGCTCATTCCTGATTTGTTCCCAATGTTAAGATGACTAGGTGATGAACTGTCTCATGGTCAAGTGTGTGTGTTCGTTTTGCTGTGTATGTACGGTAGATTGCTTGTCCTCACGAGAGTGTTGTGCTGATGTGTGTGTGTGTATGTTTGTGTGTGTGTGTGTGTCTGTCTGTCTGTCTGTCTGTCTGTCTGTCTGTCTATCTGTATGTCTGCCTGTTTCTGGGTGTGCATGTGTGTGTGTGCCTGACTGTCTGTGCATGTATGTGTGCACATTCATGAATGCATGTGTGCGTGTGTGTATGTGTCTGTGATGGCAAATAGGAGGATATGGATGCACAGCACACTCCACGCAACACTCCCGGCAGTCCTGCAATGGGCTCCATTATCCCAGAGGTAAGTAAACAACACACTTCAATCAATTGTTGCTCAATGGCTTTCGGCATTACCAACTACTTGATTTTTAGCTTTTATATGCTAACACACTAAAAGCCATGCACTTGCGCCTATATTAGTTCTAGAGACGCACGGTGAGGCAGTTCCTGATACTAACCAGTGCTGTAATTTTTGCACTTCGTGGATGCCGTGTTTCTGCATTTGTTCTGTTCTTTCAGCTTCCGTTTGAGCCGGACAAACTACCTCTTGAGCACAATGAAGCCAAACCAGCCCAGGACGCTACCCAGGAAACATCGTTTGTGAATAGAAACGCGGGAGCTTTGGAACGTGGCGCATGGGGGTATGGCTTCGGTGGCGAACACACAGCTGACCAAGACATCTCTTTACGCTAGGAAAGACGCGCATGGCGTTTTCAAACTATAGCAAGGAGGATTGCAAGCACTCTTCACACCTTCAGACAAGTGGAGCACGGTAGACTCATGAAACCCTGGCTTCCGCTTGCCCCAGCCACAAGTAAAGAGCAGGTCATTTGCGATAGGTTTCGCCAATATTGACTTGCCCTGCATAACCATCGGTGCGGAGTTGGTGCCTGTGTTGCTCTTAAATGCAAATTTGAAGTATTTTGTGTTGCTTCATCTGATGGTCTGTGCTGGTCTTTGATGTGAGTAGCTGGCTGCAATTAGCTATGATCCTCTGCACTATTGTTCGCCATATTTTGCTGCCTGCAGTTTAGGCTTGGCTGCTTAGACCTGGTTACAATAAACATGCATGATGCAATCGCCATTGCACGTTTTAGAATTCAATACTGATGACTACATGTACAAAATTAATGTAGGCACGTCGTCATATTCAAAATATCTCTATTTCTGCCAAATGGCATCTGCGAATTTGGAGCGGGTACTTTCATTTGCTAGCTTTCCCCTGGCGTATATTTCTCCCGCACAGTACCGTACGCCGAATTTCATTGAGCACTTAGCATGACTTTCCTAGTAATTTCTAATAGAAACACAGCCGCTGTACTTTCAACAATTAATCACAGAGAACGACATTATTAACTCTTCTAACTGAGTGCTCGAGGCGCAAGACCGAACGTGCTCCCTCGCCAGATCACGCCAGAAGAAAGCGATAGGTGTTACGAAAGTTCATCCGGGCTTGAATGGCAAGCAGATATGCTCTGGCATGCGACAGAGCCAGACTACTCCTGTCACTGGCAATTGTATTTTTATATTTTCAAGGATTCTCCAGAGGCAAACGGATGCCTATCAAAGGGAGTCTCCTGGGGAAAGGGATAGGAGTGAAGGTGGCTGTTATGAGAGAGGGAAGAAGGGACATGACAAGGTGAAAAAATACAAACAGGAACAGCAGGAGCTACTTGCAAAAATCGGAACAAGTTTTGTTCTAGATATAGGGAAGTTGAAAGTGCTAAACCCCCGATGACCATGCGGAAACGATGATCAATCTACTTTCCCTTGGATAACAATATCTGCATGGGTAAACACATGTTAGAAGCGGGCATGCGGACATAACGGTAAACTATCCACAGTGCACGGCAACAGCCTGTACCAAAATTGATACCTATAGACAAATCTAGGTTTGTCGTAGCTAGCTAGGTTAATCATACCTAATCAGCCTATGTTGTGAAGCCAATACAGCGCCGCTGAAACACAAGTATTACGACCTGTGACGTAATCACCACTCAATCGTACTGCAATTGCTAATACTAATAGCAGTACTTGCAGTGAGTGCACAAACAAGCATGCATGCACCAAGGCGGTGCATACTCTCTCGTCAAGTAAGGTGGTTGAGAGCAAGGCTGCAAGTTATGACTCAGCGTAGGTTCATTTGATGGAGGTAGTGCCTGTGCTGTACTATAAAGCAGAGGTCAGAGATGGCGCATGCATCTACGTCAAATATGTCCTTCAAGTGCTATTCGGCTGAGCTTCAGTTAGCAGTGTGCACCAGTAGAAGGTAAAAAGTTAATTCGGCAGGATCATAAGTTGTGCAACTTGACTCAACCTCTCAGTAGCAGATGAAGAAAATTCATCATCGGGCACAGCTGCTTTCTCCATAACACTGCTATTGCATAACTAGTGCCAAGCCTTCTCCTTAAAACACTGCTATAATGCATAACTACTTGTAGCACCTAGCTGACTATGTATGATCAAGACTGGTAATACCAGTCACCTCTACAGTTTGATCACTGCGCAGTTCTAGAAAGTAAAGATAAGTTTCACTGCATGTAAGTGCAATGCAAAACGAATAAGGCATGACTGTACTGAACTAAGGATGTTCACTTTTTGACATTTTACTGGTAGGTCAGCCCACCCTAGTGCTGATCATCAACTCAATGGTGGATAAATATTTGTGGACATGTGCCTTTGGGAGGATTCCATGCAGTGTGCCAGGCAGATTGGTCGCTCCAGCTCACCCCGGAACTAATATCTGGTGGAAAGATCCGAGGTATTGACGGCAATGCGGACAAACATCACGTTTTCTTTGACATAGTCACGGCCATGGTTCACCGCGTCCAGCGGCACAAAGCGAGGACATCCGCTGGCCACATTCATCTCCGACCTGGGACGCTCAAAACTGCACGATGACGGATCTGGCTTGAATGTATCGGACACGTGCCTACCCTGCTGGGATTGGTCCAGTAGGGTGAATGTCACCTTCTGATGGAACGGCCACGGCTGCAGTGCATCAAACTCGCCTTTCATGAGGATAAAGAATATGCTCAAGTGCGTCTTCTTGCCCTGCCCGTCACCGTGGGGATAGAGCCGAGCGCACATCTTGTAACCATGGCGACTGGTGTAGAACGGCGGACTCAGAAGGGACTTCTTCTGAGGGCCTTTGGTCTCCTCCATTCGCCGAGCATAGTCGGGTATTTTCCACACATATATACCGCTGTAACTCGTTGTCTCCAATGAGAGTAGGCGTAGGTCCATACTTGTCAGTACGGCCTCCGTTGCGTCCGACAATCTTTCCAGAGATTGAGAGTCCTCATGGATGGTGCCGACTTGGTCTGTTACCTTGCCGATGCTTTCCTCTAACACGTTGCATCTACTGTCCATACCTTTCAATGTTGTCTTTGTGTTCTCCAGCTCCGTGCTGACTTCATGAAGTTGTGCTGTCTCGTTGCTCTGTGCTTGTACGCGTGTTTCCACGTCGTTGATTTCCTTGCGGAGAGCCAATGCATGCTGGTCGATCATTTCCCGGCACTTTGCATCCATGGAACTCTGCATTTCGGCCAGCTTCGTCTGCATGGTGGCGTGTATGCTTTTCGTCGCGTCCTCCATCGTCGCACGCAGAGACAAGACCTCATCATGCAGCTGCTCACGCTCCTGATGTTCCGTGTGGAAGGCTGCTCTCACCATATCCAGGTGCTGGTGAACACAATCTGTCATGTGCTTGGTGCGATGGCACCTTGGAGTCTGCACAGCCGTATACCAAGAAAGCAAGACAAAGGAAATCTAGGACTAGCCTCATCATAGACGAAAAATCAACTTCTTCAAGTGCCAAGGATTATTGAAGCACTTCGAAGATATTATTGCAAAAACCAGAGCATTTTCTGCAAGCAGATCTTCCCGAAAAGTATTATACTGAGTGGCTTTGTTCAGTGGAGACATATACCAATTGGTCAGCCAACAATACGTGCCATCCTCGATTAGGGTTCGACAGTCATAGTTCAGGAATGTCAAATCCATGCAGTTCACACCACTTCTGTAGCGCAAAAATTAACAGGGCGACAGGATTCAACGGAAATTTACATACCTCCACCGTGCAGCCAAACTCTTCATATTCACATTTCTCCACTGTCATGGGACACTCCAGCTCGACGTGCTGCTTCACCTGTTATTCGAGTAGCACAGATTTTACTTTCAATTAAATTGCATAAATGGCACACCCCAACACTCACTGAATACTTTAAGTACATGCATTTAAAGACACACTTCCAAAGAGCAAAATTTCAGACCAAATTACGGTATTTCCATTTTCTCGGATGTCATACATCCTCAGAAAATTTTCCAAAACAGTCTCTAAGCTACACCAATCAATAAAAATTAATAAATTATCTCCGTCTAGACTATTCATTAATAAGGTTCTCCGAATTTTTGGGACAAGGCCCCAGCATCTTCAGGAATGCAGTCACCCCAGAGCAAACATAGATTCTTGCAGGTCTACATGAATAATCCATCCTGAAGTACAACAAAGCCCAAGCCCTGGAAATCCTCAAGTTCCAATGAGCAGACTACTAGTTCAGAAAGACCCTCCTCAACTCTAGACTGGAGACATGGAGCATCAATGATATCATCACTAAGCAGGTTGTGGCTACACGAGGCATGTGATTGAGAGCTAGCATGACAGAGTGTACACATAGACCCTTCTTGCACATGCCGTGAAAGCCTTCAACGATTGCCCTTGTACAAGACACGGATGGTTAACCTGCAGACACCGTAATGCAGGGCTGTAGCCCGGGTGCACTCAAAGTGACTCATTGCTCGATTATTCCATACACTCTGTATCCTCAAACTCTGCAAACAATGTTTGAGTAATCGAACATTACGGGAATTTCCTCATCCCTAAGCATTACTATTAATACAAGGCAGCCGGGATATGACTCTACAAAGACATGCTCTGGCACTAACCATCTTTGCCAGCAGTATGGCCCCGCACTGTGATGGGCAGAGAACCTTCGCCTCTGGGCAGGCTGCCTTGTGATCCTGTAAGAGAACGGGGCGCACAACCGCACAACACATTCATTCATGTTATGCCCTGACATACCAGAGCCTACACTTCCTTCGTTGCACTTCCACATCCAATATCAGAGCTATTTCAGGGCGGTTGTATCTACGGAAAGCGTACACATTGGTTCAAAACCAGCCAACAGATGCTAAATCAGAGTAGATATCTGACATGGGTATCACTTGCACCATGGACTACACTAGAGTTAGTCTAGTCTGAGGCCCATTGGTCAACAGGCATGTATACAATCATGTGCTTTCCCCAAATCCCAAGCGGCAATCGAACGTTTACTTTCATGGCCAAAGCCAAGATGATCCTTACCCTTAGAGATTCCCAGGTTTGCTGTTTTCTTCACTCGACTTATCACGGTATCTTAATTTTTAAATCTTTTCTCCCGTTCCATCGGCATCATAACATTGGGCATGATTGCGATGTAAAGTAAAACAAATACAATACAATACTTCGAATAGAAAGTACATGGACACTGAAACCAACACGGTGGATGATTCCACAATGTAAATTCAAGCAGCCGAGCCTGATGGCAACAAACCAAACCACTATCTGCAATATATGTACCCACAAGCATGCCTAACTAGCTGACACACACACACACACACACACACATACACACACACACGCACACACGCACGTACACACGTGAACACAGACCACCATAGATACGTACTGATAAGGCTAACTTGGGCACCGCGTTATTGCAGTAGGGACAGGTAACGGCAACATACTGGCAATGCGTCATGACGTGATCGTCAATGTTGCAGCGCTGGATGCGTCGCTTGCAGCCGTTTGACTTATTGGGACACGGATGCAGCTGCATCTCACAGCTCTGCATCAAGTGTTCCTGCGCATGGTGCAACGAGACACAAATGAGTTTGAGATTCAATGTCTGAACGGCATGTGTGTCTCACTCTCAATAGCATACAAGTAGGCGACTGACTGGCTATGGCTAAGACCCGTAGCTCTTTACAAACATCGTCATGTTCAATAATATCTACACACGGCACCGCATGGCACACATCACGGCACACATCACACAACACAGCATATCACACAACACACAGCACACACACCAAACAACACATCACACAGCACAGTAGTGCACAGTACAGCCCAGGCCAGGCCAGGCCAGGATAGCACACAGCACTGCACAACACAGCACAGATACTACTCACCTCCAAGTCAAACAAGCATCCCTTCCAGTCACAGCCAATGGTATGAAGCTGACATAGCACTGTGTGGCTAAGTATAGTCTGTCTGTACTGTGTGTCACTCTGCATCTGCAACAGCATGGCAATACATGAATACAGTCGACTCCTGATATACCCAACACCATTGTGCATAGGGCTGAAACGATCATTCAATAACTCCTAACGATCGACCAATATCATTAACGATCGATATAATGGTTTTATCGATTCTTGTCGGCTCTAGCCGTGTACTTCGAACACCAGTCTATGAAGAAATTCCACGATACCTTTTGCTACGGTACAAATTTGTGGCTCCACACTGTTGACATCTGGCTGGTTTATCAGCATGAACTAGAAAATTTCATGTTGCTTCTAGAGCGAAGAATCTTGTCATCACTCGCTGGCAACTGCTCTTATCTCCGACCTCTCCCACAAATGAACCGAAAAGACAAAGTCTCCTCTCCCGATCTCTTTCAAAGCCACAAATCAATTTTACCGCGCTTAGAAGTACATGATTGTACTCGTATTCACTATCGGATGGAGTACAATGGCTAGAATACTGTCACTGATGTGCATGCATAAAAATCGTTAGCACTCGTTTTGAACACTAACAATTATCGATTGCACTCTTAACGATCGATATGCGAGTTATCGGTATAATTGTTTCAGCCCTAATTGTGCAGGAGAATTAGTTCTTTATAGCCAAAGTTTGTTATAACAGAAATGCACTTACACTATACAAGCAGCAAGTCATGACTGGCAAGTGGCCCATGACAGTATGAGTGTACTTGGTTTACATGCAGCCCTACAAGATTTGCTTCATTGTCAACGAAAGCTGTTTGCTATAAAGGGTCAATTTTGTATGGGTTGAAACAGGGACGTGGGCAAGGGCTCGCTATATCACGAAATTCGCTATATGCGAGTTTGTGATACGTGGAGTTGACTGTACAGTTGAACATCGATTATCCGCACATCGACTATCCGACCATTCGATCATCCGTAACAGTTTTTTTGGGCGCACGTGCCGTAGAGTACGCACTGTGCATGTAGTGAGCCATTCAAAAATACGAAAATTTTGAAAAGTAAAAAGTAAAAAGGTCGTGCGGCTAGTAATAACCACTGAAAGTGTGTGAGTGACAGTTTTTTCTTATCCAGAACATTTGCCTTATCTGAACACCGCCTGACAGTTGTCTGCCCAGAGGTGGTCGGATAATCGATGTCCAACTGTATGTCATGCTTGGTTGGTTTAAAGCTGCACTTCTTTCCACGTAAATTGGGCCAAAGTCACCCACGAGTCTTAAACACTAAAGATGTGCATGCAGAACAGAAATTGCAACAGTAGGCCAGCTTGAACATCAGTCAGTTCACCACTCCACAGTGCACTCTCGGCAGACCAATTACTTCGAAGTACACTTGTACATCACCGCTTCAGCGAGAGATACTCGGCTGAGATTTAGATCTTGTAAAACCCTCCAGGCAGCTGTTTCAATATAATGGAGTTCATTAGTGCAGTTCGTATAACATACGACCTGGAATCATGTCATCATTGTGTTATCGCCGACATTGTTAGTCCGCATGCTTTGTACTATGATCCCAGTTGCTTACACATTTTGGTGAGAAACCACAGTTTGATATTTCAATGTTGTCATTACCTATGCGCTGCTTTTCCAACCCTAGTTTCTATATGATTTCCTTTGTTCTGACATGTTCCTTAGCACAACGATGATTCCTGCAAGTAAAGTTGTTCAGATCATTTTTCTCCCACCGTTCTTCTTCACTACTTGCATTAATTTCAAACAAATATACTGCGCATATCTCTAACCTCGGACACATTGATGGGACTCTTGCATTCTGGGCAGCAGTTCATACTCATCCTGTTAGAAAATACACGTGAACGCACCACCGGCCAAAGAGAAAAGGGCTTGAAAGTCATGGCATCAGAAGTCAACAAATAACGACAAATACTGACTTCTGGATCCACTCTATCCAGAGTAAAGCACAGGATGGGGCGGGTACTGTAAAAGCAGAAATTTCTAATTTCATCCTGCTGTGAAGGCCCTTGAAACTACCCAACGTGTATGGATCCAAATAAAACCTGGATCCAAGTATTGAAGACTATTTCGTGAGATGAACATTACTCGGGATACTAAGCACAAGTTTCCTGCTGCCCAAGAGGGTACGTCTTATCTGTGTTCTACCGTATTTCCCATTTTTAGATTACCGCATTACATCATCAAAAAGTTTGGATTAAGAATTCCGTGACCGTAGTCCGTACCATGCCTTGAAGCAGAGCTTGCAGAAGCGATGCCTGTTCGGACATGGCACCTGCACCGGATCACGGAGGACAAAGTTGCAGATCTTGCACAGGTACTGCGGAGGCAGCGGCGGCTCAAACTTCTCATCATAGCCCAGCATACCGAGCACAGGTCCATTATCGTCCTCACCTCCCAGTGGGATCTGGTAGTAGGTCTCTGGGTTAGGTACTGTGCCAGTACAAGAACACATTTAAAACACACATGCACACATATTTGAACTCATGATTTAAAACAGAGAGGTTTCATTCTGAAACTCGGATGTCGAGCCAATAAAAAACGTAGAAAGAAACATAGGTGTCAGGACGTCGAATGTCTCAGTACTCTGTCAGTGTTGTGCCTACATGTAGTTGTTGCACTTTCTGACTGTGTACAGTAATGGAGAGTTACTCTTAACTCGTATCCATAATTATGTCCTTTTCCTTTCTAGGTTTCATACTCTTATTATTATTTGAACTATTATAGAAAACCTTAGTTAGAGAAATACAGTCAATAACAACAGCAATTTTGTTTCAGTGTCCTTTAGCACAACGACCATTCCTGATGAGTGTTGTAAGAAAACTTGTTTGAATCCCAATTTTTCTGTATACACATAATTATATTAACACAATCATGAAGTGTTCGGGGTGGGACTGGGGGGGGGGGGGGGGGGGGGGGGAGTGGAGATGCCGCTCTCGTCTTTCTTTTCCCATTAGCCTTTCTATTACAGGTTCAAGTTCCCCTTTACTGAGCAATTTTTTTGAACACAACAACTGCAGCAGCAGCAGCAAGAATCTGTGCAGTGTCTTGGCTCAGGGTACCTGGATTATACGACTGGCTACAGAAAATGAACAGATCATGGGAGTTGATCCTGAAGTGGTATTCTCCATGCAAAAACAGATTGCTGTCGTCATTGCCCGTAGCCTTGACTTCTTAACAAGACATTCTTGCAGCATGTAGCATAATAGGACTGAAGCAGCACTGGACTATCCAGTCCATGGTTTCCATGGGTTTTTTTCTGTGTGGCTTACCTGCGGGATCGAAACCGGTCTCAATAGGCGGGTATGGGACAAACTGCTCGTTATCCATCGGATTGGCCGACATCACAGTCATGCCAGGACCGCCACCAACCTGGTAGTCATCTTGGGCGTAATGTGCTCCTGGCATCGTCACCTCTCCAGGATAGCCAGCAGCCTCCCATGAAGCGGCACTGCTACGATCCGACCTGTTCTCTCCGTCACGATAGCCTGTCATATCTCGTGCTGTGGGCCCTGGCCGCTCACTCATATACTCATAATGTGTCGGTGGTGGTGGTGGTGGTGGCAAGGTGACTTTGTGCGAATGTTCTTGGTGATTGTTCACTGCTTCCAGCACTCCACCGTGATGTTGACCGGGATAAACTGTAGTTTGACGAGCTGCCGGTCCCTCTAGCTGGTAGTGCTGTTCTGGCCCAGGTCTCCATTTCACCACCGTTGGCGGCTTAGACTCATAGTTCAGATCTAATGCACCGCCATCCGTCTCTTCCAGTCCAGAGAAGGATGCCGGTGTTTCCTGGACTCGTGATGAATTGTCATCAGGGTTGCCATGGTCAGGAGATTGAGGTGGACCGTGGGGATACGCACCTTGCTTCTGTTCGTCGTGCTGCGGCGATTGCTGCAGTTGTTGCTGTTCTTGTTGTTGCTGCTGCTGCTGCTGTTGTTGTTGTTGGTGTAGTTGTTGTAGTTGTTGTTGTTGTTGTTGTTGTTGTTGTTGTTTATGTTGGTGTTTTTGTTGTTGTTGTTGTAGTTGTTGTTGTTGTTGTTGTTGTTGTTGTTGTTGTTGTTGTTGCTGTTGTTGTTGTTGTTGTTGTTGTTGTTGTTGTTGTTGTTGTTGTTGTTGTTGTTGCAGTCGTGGTTCCATTCGATAATGGTCAAATGCACCCGATTGTGATATTAAATCATGCTTCTGCCCGTTGCCATCGCTCAAATGGGCGGATTGGTCTGGATGATGTTGGTATCTGCCGGTAAAACCCGCTGGCTCAGCTACCAGATCCTGTTGCTCAGATAGAGCTGCATTCTGGCCACTAGCACTGATGGTCGTATGACCAGATGAACCCTGCACGGTGGTGTGTACCTGCTCAGATGCACCATACCCATGTGGAGCCGAGCCATGTGCTACAGCCCCACTGCTTTGACGCGAGCTGGGTGGACCTTGCTGAAGAGCCGCGCCCTCAGTTGCCTGCAACGTGTCAGGCTCATACCCTGGAGCATACATGGGCTGAGGTGGGTGCGACTGTGATGCTACATTCTGAATAGTGCCGCTTGGGGATACGTACTGTGAGGCCGCACTGCAAGCAAGCGCCGGTTCGGATGTGACCTGGCTGCCTCCGCTCATTGCTAGCACTGAGGCCACTGTCTGCCGAGTACCCTCTCTTTCCTATGCTGGCTGACTGGCACTGCACACGACACTTACTCCGGCCGAAAGTCACCTACAGGAGCAATAGACACACAGCACATACATGTAGGTAAGTATGAGTTCACTGCCACTATCCCAGTGAGTGTGTACTACCGTATAGTACCGTGTTTTCCCGGGTATACATGAGCAGCACTGGAGTATAACTGAGCCACACTGGAGTACAAAGCCTAGTTCACATTCGACGCAACGCTGACGGTACGGGACGTAAGGGCCTGTCGGGGCGGCTGGGGTGAGCTGTAAAATCCTGTACGATGCGTACGACACGACATGCAGCAGTCGTTGCGATGTGCAACGTCGAACGGCGCAAGTCATGAGGCACGGTCCGTGACGGGGGGACTTTCTGACCGATTTTCTCGTCTTTCGGGACTTCTTTTCAATTATTTCTCCTTGAAAGAAGCGGAATCAAGTTCACAATACCAGTTTTTCATGAAGACCAAAAATATTAGCCCTGAAAGTTGTGGCATTCAAATAATAGCCCCAGGAAATGATAGAACAACTCACGTAAAACACGTCAAATTTTACGTGAGTTTTTGAATTTTTGACGTAAACGTTCACGGACGTAAGAATTTTACGTGGATCTTAACCTCTCTATGGTGTCTACTTGGTTGCGTGGATTTGCTTCTTTGCATGCGAAGTTATAGATTGCGAAACATGTAGTGTTAGAAAACTATTCTCGCAATCGCACACAAGTGTTGGTGCTTTAATAGACTGGCTTGCACATACACGCGTGTCAAATTTATTTCTTTGTTTCTTCCTCTAGTCTGCTGTGTACTAAGTGCGCTATTAGCACGCTACACACACATGAATGATGTACAATCATTGAAGACAGAAAGTAACAGTAGTTCAAACAACAACAAGGCTAACTAACCCACGGCTAGGGCCACGATGGTAGACCTACGACAGCTCTGTCGTTTTATTCCCTGTTGGGCGTCTGACCACTCGACCGCGGCAACTGATCAGTAGCGAGCACAGACACTACTTGTATACTGATTATTACTAGTAAATTGTTACTACAATCTGTCAATCAAGTAGAGAGAGAGAGAGAGACGTCACGTAGATCTACTGTACCTCGCTTCTCAGCAGTAGTGTCGCAGGGACAGGCCTGGATCGACGAGAGAAGGGGCGATCTGTCCAAGTCGAGCCTACTCATGCCATGCATGCACGCATCGCCGCCTCCAACAACACACCTCAATCAGTGCAAGCTCAAAAATAATAATCATCGGCGAAATAATAGTTTTAAAATAGTACCAGTAGAGCTACCCCATTCAGAAGAAGACGTGTCGACAGACTCGACAGTCACACTACTGACTAGTACTAGTAGTACTGTACTGAAAGAAGTATGATTGTACAGACGCCGTCACGTCAGTAGTTACGACTGCACTACGTCATGCTTGTAATGTAGCACACATTATCAGATTATGCACACTGTACAGTCTTTTGTGGATAGTTCTGTCGTGGTGGCTGAGTCTCAAACACAATGTAAAATTTAGCCTGATGCCAGGCCCGAAATTTGGTGTACCGATATAGAATCACAGTAACTGAGCCGTTTGGGAGTTGAGGAGTGAAGTTTCATGCATGTGCAAGTGGCTGTTTTAGATTTGCATACTAGTTTGGTCGAAGCTAGTATTGGTACAAAAATAACATGTAGTTAGGAGGGTGAGAAACATCTTTCAGCCTGTTCATCATTCCTTCAGTCCAAACTGCCCCACGTACGCTCTCAGCCAACATCATTCACCACACAAGCCAGCAGCAGCACGACTCCTACTGTTGTAGATCCACTGTGGTAAAAATTCCTCCATGCAGCTTTTTCGATCATACTGATCAGTGAATAACTGCGAAAATAAAGAAGTGCGATCCCACCACGCTTCAAGGTAACAGAACTGCTAGCGCACGGAGGAGAACACGTGCAAGATGATACTGATACACGTACACTCATGATTGTAAGGCGCTAAAGATTGGAGGACTTCGGCATAGGCTAAATGAAGCTGGGTTGCTCGTACAGTACGTGCCTAACGAAGTCGCTGCTTCTAAGTCAGTAATACTAATAGATTGTTTTCCTCTAGCATAATAATAAATATGAACACTGTATGAGACTCCGGATATCCAGCTATCCGCGCATGATCACTAACAACAAGCCTCATGATTAGTGAAAACCTTTAAAACATGCTCAGCGGGTGCCGTCGAAATTCAATATTGTCAAACGAAGCCACAGGTCCAAGAAAAGGAAGAAAAAAGAAGGAAGGAGAATGGTAAGTTGTTTTCAGTTTGCTGGTTCAGGCAGTAGGTGTACAACGTTCAGACACACTGCTACAACCTATAAACAAAATGATTTCATCAAAGATGCACTTCAAATATCTAGTAAAATAAATAAAATAATAATAATAAAAAATATATGTGGCATGAGCATGGGCAACATACTCATTCATTCGGTGCAGCTGTTTCATGGAATGGAGGTGTTTACAGGTTTAACAATAAGATTTAGTTGGGCATGACAGTTTAGACTGGGAGAATTCCACGCAGATGGGCGTGAGGTCAGCAGTGCACCACAAGATGCGGACTGGAAGCGGGTACGTACTCCGGTTGAAAGCCATTGTGCGTGGGAGAGATTAGAGACAACTTACTTCAGAGCCATGGCTACTATTGTACTAACCATCTGCTAGAGGCGAGCATGGACATGAACAGACAAACTAACCAGAAATGAATGTATACTGCTGTATGGCCAGGCAGTCTAGAGGAGAGTGACTTGGTCGCCAGCAGTATCAAGTGCAACAATCCAGTACAGGTTACCGGTGACGTTGGGAATAGTTTCCGAAATGCCTGTTCTCTCGTGATGTCCAGTCAGAGTGTGCCTGTCATGGTCCACAGTTAGATGAATAGTATCACCTGTTTGCCATTTTTGACCAAGTCGTGACCCTGTGTGGTATTTGTCACTTCCAGATCCCCACCAACCAAAGCATTGGCTTTTGTCTTGGTGGCAGGCTTCGAGATTTGGAGCACTTGACGAACATGCGCACAGAAAGATACGACCTCCCTTGGTTCTGTCAATGCTAACTTTCACTGTACTGCTGCAAGCCTGAGCTACCATCGGTCTGGTACATGCAGCCGACCAACTCCCCTGCCTATCAGAGTTGCTGAGAAGTGCTCGCCCGTTGTCTAAAATCTGTACGCGACTGCCACAGCGACTGGTCTCAAACACTGGAGTTGATGATACCTCTAGCTCGTGTGGACTTCCTTGCAAAGGTCTGCCGCCAACCTTTGCAGAGACGCGGTATTTGCCAGCTGTCGATGGGCTTGATTTAATTCGTACACATCCCGGTTTACACTCACGCTGTGTGCACATTCTCGATGTGTGATCTTGAAGATTGGTGATGGATACCTCCAGCCTAATGTTGTCAATTTCATCTTGATCCAGAGTAGCGCTGCTACTGACATCACAGCTTGCGGGCAGCTCAATGACGAATGCGGCGCCTTCACCTACCACCGCTCTGCCTGCATCGGGACATTTCAATTCAGCATCGGCAACGTCCAGTACAGCTCCGGATTTCCTGACGCCATCCAGTAACTGGTCAGTGTCTGTGCTGCCGAATACAATGCCACTTGATGTACACGGCTTACTGTCTTCGGCTACGGCTTTCATTGCGTCGCTGATGCAATTGTCCACCCATTGCCACACCCGTAGCAACTCTACATCATCCTGGAATGACTCTAAAATAGTGGCAGCACCATCAGCTTGAGACACGCATGCCTGCAGTCGAACTTGTTGCTGCTCCAATGGCAAGATCCTCTTCGATCTTAGACAGTCGAGCTCAGCCAGGAGATCCCGCTCTCTTTTCTTCACAGCTTCAATGATCTGTGCAAAGAAGTCGACTACATTCTCGGAGACATGTTCTGTCTGATCATGGATACGCTGGATGTTTCTTTGCACTTGACCTAGTGCACTGCTTGCTTCACCAGTAGATTCTGAGTTCAAACTACCCAGCTTGGCGGACAGAGAGTCCCGAGTCTTGCTTGCAGCAGCCGCAATGTCCATCACTGTGTGACAGTCTTGTTGGTGTGGCCTGGTCTGCAAACATCTTGCACACATGATCCTCTTACAATCTGCACAGTAATGGCTGACCACTTCATTGGTGTGCATAGCACATCTATGTTTGCGTGGCGCAGTATATTGGCTGGAAGACCTTGCATCACCAGTTGACTGCATCACTGGCTGACTGAGCTGCTTTACTGTGTGGTTCTTGCCTGACCTGGATAGTGGGTGACCAGCGGAGTGTGTGTCGCAAAATTTCATGTCGCAATTCTCACAAACTGCTGTTGCCGGACTATCACTCCAGCATTCCGAGCATGAACCGTTAGCTTGGCTGTCCTCGCCCACTCCCGTTTCTCCACGGGTCACAACGCTCGGTAGAGATCGCATCGGTTCCACACCAACTGGCAAGGGCGTGCTGCGTGAGCAGTGAGGACATGTTATCGATCCATCGAAGCCCATGTTGTTTTGCAGACATGGGACGCACAAGGCGTGCAGACACGCCACATACTTCAACGCTTTTTCTGACGAAGCGCAGCCGCTACAGCGCTGAACTGAAGCCATTGCTGAAGCAGTTATCACAGAGCAGCAAGAATTCAAATACATGTAGTAATACTCCGTAGATCTACACCAAACATAGTCTTCCGTTCGAAGTCATGCACATGCAGAACATGTAGTTACTTACTACTAGTACTGAGTCTAGTACTAGTACTAGTACTAATAATAATAATTATTATTAGTACTACTACTACAAGTAGTAGTAGACTACCATGCAACTACATTGTAACTACCTTGCAATACAAGGACTGTTTCGACTGTAGATCTAACGACCAGCTACATGTACATGTAGATCTACGGATTGTATCCGTCTGATTTATTTATAAATTTATTTTATTTCTGCATTTCGTAGCATGCGCCGGCGCCCAGGTTTGGCTTATCAGTTATCACAAGAGTCCATAACCGGTTAAAGGGGAAGTGCATCGATTTTTCAAGTAGGGCTCAGATGAAAGACAATTGAATATCGGTTCCGATGGTATATCTCTCGCTTGCGTATGGCAAGGGAAACTTGCCATATCGCCGATTTCCTGATCCCGTTTCCATGGCGACTACAGGTGATGACGCACATTCTGCTTAGCTCCGTGAGAGAGAAGGTCGATCAGTGAAGAATTGTGTCATTTTCAGTTGTCTTCTTGTATTCACGAAGTGAAAGAAGTACTGTGTTCAAGGCTGTTAGTGCCGTGAACGGTTTATTAGTAGTCCTCTCCGTTGTGTACTGGGACGTGACACCGACAGGGGAAAGCTGGAGTGCGGAGACGTTAGCTGGCAAGCGAAAATCGTGACGAACCAAGTGCTGAAATCTTGGTTGGGACAAATCAAACGTTCAGCATTTACCTCAACCAAGGACCATGCCGTTTGCTCTTTCCACTTCCTGAAGATGGATGCGCTGCCTGCTGGAGACTCTCCTATCTCTCGTAACATCTTCTGAAGCCAGGTGAGACGACGAGTAGCGGAGATTAGCGAACGAAATAATGTCGTATGTTTTGAAATTTTTGCTGAACATTTCTCAGGAGAGATGGCGAATACCAAGCATCTTCTCCAAGTCTAGAGAAACCATTTATTAGGCTACATTCCGCCTAGGGAAATGCAGGAGATGGCCTGGCTGGGGAGGACACACTTGGAGGAGAACGAAGTAAGTGATCTTGTTTGTTGTTCTTTGGTATTGCAATCTTATGTTTGACGAACATACGGCATGGTGCATAGTTGGTCGTTGAGTGCCTGCATGTGCATGTATAAGTGTGTGCTGATAAACACTTCCTATGCAAGAATCTGACACTCATGCTCTCTTTATTTCTTGCAGTATGTGCGCACGTGTGTGTGTGTGTGTGTGTGTGTGTGTGTGTGTGTGTGAGAGAGAGAGAGAGAGAGAGTGTGTGTGCAGGAGCAGCGTGGAGCATGCCAGTGTGATCGCGGTGGCCGTTGCTTTCTTAGCTGTGGCGTTCTTGCTCGTCACAAGTGTGTGGCTCAGCCCCCAACGACAGTGGAGCCGTGTTGTGGTGAATACTGTGTGTCCTGCGACCGCTGCTTCCGTTCGGTCCAGGGCAGGAATAGACACCGCTGCTGAAGCTCTCCCCGGCCATACGTCAGTCTCGTGGCAGCTGACCCGAACTCTCAATTTGTGTGT